TGCAATATATGGACATATGTCTCAAGTGATGCAATATAAACTGACGTCCAAAAGAAACTTCACCAGAGTTTGAAATCACTCTTGCTAAAAAACAACAAAACAAACATGCATGAAGTAAAGTGTATTGAGAAGATCAATATATCAACATAATCAACACTGAAAATGACAATCATACCGCGACCGAGAATGACGTCAGAGCCCCCCAAAGTTGGGTGTGGTACAAAACACGAGCTTTCAGAATCATGGACATTAGACAGAGTACATAAACAATCGCTCACGTTCAATAACAAGTCATTAGTAGCGTGTGTGACCACCAAATGCCTCAATACACGCAAAAACTCTTCGACGCACAGAAAAAGTCAGTCGTCTGATGAGGTCACGTGGGATTTGACGCCATTCTTCTTAGAGGGCCAAGATCAGTTCTTGCCGGTTGGCTGGAGAGTGTGGTCGTTGTCGAACATGACGATCCATCAAGTCCCAGAGGTGTTCTATGGGGAACATGTTGGGTGAGCGTGCAGGCCACGGCAGGACGTTGACGTTGTTGGTTGCGAGGAAGTTAGTGACAATTCTGGCTGTATGGGCTCCAGCGTTGTCATGCTGATAAATGACACCACGTGGCTGCTGTTGGAGAAATGGTAGGACAACTGGACGAAGAATGTTATCCATGTAACGCTGAGCTGTCAAGTTTCCGTCAACGATGACCAGCGGTGTCCTCTCCTGCCCACAGATCCCTCCCCACACCATGACACTCCCTCCATATTGTACGACCTCCTGCACGCAACACGCCGCCGTTCGTTCACCCCTTTGGCGGTAAACACGTTGTCTTCCATCAGCCCTAAACATACAGAATCGACTTTCGTCAGTGAAGACAACCCTCTGCCAGTCACGTCGTTGTCAACGTCGTACAGTCCGGGCCCATCTCAATCGCAGACGACGATGTTGCGCTGTCAATAGCTGTCCTTTCACAACTAGCTTTCTGAGCCACCAGCGACTCCTTATCTGGTGTGATACAGGTGAGGTGAAATGGGGCTTAACGTCGCGTCGAAGGTTATTGCACTTATACATGACGTGCATGCACGTGTGTGTGTGTGTGTGTGTGTGTGTGTGTGTGTGTGTGTGTGTGTGTGTTTGTGTGTGTGTGTATGTGCGTGTGTGTATGTGACTGCTTGTACTAGTCCGGACTAATGTCAAGTTAATCGTGCTAGCCCACTGAGATACCATGCTGCAGTTTAACATGTCAATATCCCACTCAAACATAGCATGCTGACTCCGAGCCGACCAGTCCTTGTTTTTAGCCCCTTAATGCCCAGTGCCAGGCAGGGTAACATCAAATACCATCGTTTAACGCATTTTGGTATGACGCGGACGAGATTTGAACCCCCGACCTTCCGCTCTCAGGGCGGTCGCTCTACCACTAGGCAGTCTGGTCTGGTGTGATACACATGTAATTATATATAAATGTGTAAGTTGGGTTTAACACTGCTTTTAACAGTATTCCAGTTACATCACTGCGTGCCAGCTTAATGTGGGAGGAAAACACAAAGTGATGCATGTCTCAGACGTTTACCACTTCGGTAAAACCCACCAGCACGGGTATGGTGCTGACAAACCTAGAAACATAATCGGGGCGAACCGGATTCGAACCTACAATCATGTTTCTGACGTGCCCAAGGGACACAACTCTGCACAGCGTGCATCGCCAAAGACAACTGGGCCATCCCTGGACCTGCATGAACTAACTAGACTGGATTTATGACAGTCTTAAAAGTTAGTCCACTGAGATAGGTGCTGCAGTTGGAAACCCAACTCAAGACACAGTATACCGACTCTTGAATTGACCAACCCTTGTTTTATCCCCTTAATGCTGAGCACAAGGCAGAGTAACACAAAGTGATATAACAAGTGTTATATTTGAGATACCACTTTCTTAGTGAGTGAGTATGATTTTGCACCGCTTTTAGCAATATTCCAGCAATATCACGGCAGGGGACACCAGAAATGGGCTTCACACATTGTACCCATGTCGGGAATCGAACCCAGGTCTTCAGCGTGACGAGTGAACGCTTTAACCACTTGGCTACCCGACCGCCCCACCACTTTCTTAGTAAAGTAAAGATTCTCGTACTTTTTAGGTTGAGTCCGTCCGGGATTCAAACCCACAAAGAGAAAGTTTTAATGTGTTTGGGTATGACGCAGCCAGGGGAGTGAACCACCGACCCTACGGTGCCGGCAGATGCTCTTCCCACTGCACCACAGAGTTGAAGAACACTAGCAGCTGTGTTTTATCAATTCCACAAAACAACAAAACATCAAATCCAGTGATTCCAAGTGATATTTATTCCCTTCTTACAACAACATTCTGACAGTCGGTCCTACAAAAAGCGTGATTGATATGAAGGTATCAAATGTTCAAACACTCCCAAGTACAAACATCAGTTTGTTAGATATCCATGTGTTCCCATATATTCAAAATATACCCAAGCATTCATCTGTACATCAATAATGCTTACCCTATAACCTGTGAACATTTTGCATCCTAAAACAATATCTCCTGTAAGCTACACAGCACCTTACAAACATGTCCAGGGCTAATTTGTGATTGCACAGAAAGCTCCCTTTACACATCAATAACTATTGGGTCCAACAACAACAACAACAACATTAAATCACACACATCTTCAAATATTATAAGGGTAACGCTATTTTTTAGGGCATTATCATTTGCAGAAGCCCGAGGTCTTCCATTAACTGCCCGACGAAGGAGGGCAGTTGAAAAGACCAAGGGCTTCTGCAAATGATAATGCCCTGAAAAAGAGCGTTACCGTTATTATAGCTAAAATGGATGGAATTTGTTATCAAATAAAAAGAAACAACAATATCGGTTTTGAAACAATTACTGCAATCAACACGAATGTCACTGATCCACTTCTACAAGTATGGAAACGTCATAGAACAAACCAGATGACGTCACTATACTACGTGACGTCACTTTCTCTACCCTATGACGTCAAGCAATATGAGGGCATTATCAAGTTACAGTGGCCCGCTCATTTCTGATAACGTGCGGGCGGTTTAATGATAATTCTATCCATTTTAGCTATAAAAAAGAGTAAGTAGTCCCACTGGATTTCCCATGTGCACATCCACAAACGTATAATTATAAAAAACATGAGAAATATACCCCTGGAAGAAAGTTAAGGACCTCTCCATTTTTATTGTCAAATATGTTGACCTCTCATGCATCTTTTAGAAATACAGAATAGGAACTCTATAAGTTCTTCCTGCTGATTGCAAGGACTTGGTAATCTTGCGTGAAAACGGAAGCAGTGGAATGGGTAGTCAAAGAACTGTTGCCATGGAATGGCTACCGAACATTTCGGTTTCTGTAGTTCAATATGCGTATGTCATTTTGTAAAGAAACACAAATGTTTTTGTAAGCTGTATTTTGCAATACAATATGAATAAAGTAAATGCTGTTATCTTGAAATATACAGCTAGGTGAAAATGAGGAACCATGTGGTTCTGAGGTCAATACACACAATCTGTAAATGAAGGTGTGTGGTTGGCTAGTGCAAATATTCGATGTCAGTCTCTTTATGGTGCTTATCATTACCAGAAATAAAGCACAGAAATTGGTGCAATATTCATGATATTTGTGTAATAAATGTGTGAACACTTAGTTGCACTGTTCAAACTAGTCTGGGACCAGTAATTTGTCTGTAGCTATGGTCCCAGAGGCAAGCTGAAGAGATCATATTCATATGCCACATTGAGACGATTTGACATAAGGCATGAGGCACTGTGGTCTGGACTATACATTGAAGGGTTGTTAGAGACAGTGTTTGGGTTGGAGGAGACAGGCTTTGGAGAGGGGTAGGGGTAGGTGGTTGGTTAGAGACAGTGCTGGGGGGGGGGGGAGGAGACAGGAATTGGGATGGGGTAGGGGTAGGGGTAGGGGTAGGTGATTGGGTAGAGACAGTGTGGGTAGAGGGAGACAGGGATTGGGGTGGGGTAGGGGTAGGTGATTGGGTAGAGACAGTGTGGGTAGAGGGAGACAGGGATTGGGGTGGGGTAGGGGTAGGTGATTGGGTAGAGACAGTGTGGGTAGAGGGAGACAGGGATTGGGGTGGGGTAGGGGTAGGGGTAGGTGATTGGGTAGAGACAGTGTGGGTAGAGGGAGACAGGGATTGGGGTGGGGTAGGGGTAGGTGATTGGGTAGAGACAGTGTGGGTAGAGGGAGACAGGGATTGGGGTGGGTTAGGTGGAGTAGGGGTAGGTGGTTGGGTAGAGGGAGACAGGGATTGGGTTGGGTGGTTAGAGGGTGCTTAGATTAGAAAGACAGGAATTGGGGTGGAGTAGGGGTAGGTGGTTGCTTAGAGAAACTGTTTGGGTGGGGGGAGACAGGCGTTGGAGTGGAGTGGGGTTAATGGTTAGAGGGCGTGTTTGGGGATGGGTAGGGACGGGTCAAGTAAATAATCCAAGGCAGGCTTTGCAAGGCAGGCTTTGCAAGGCAAGCTTCAAAACTACCCTTGGCACATAATTCACTAGTATACCAGAAAGAATAATAAAAATACTTGTCCTCTATATTGTCAAATCAGTGCCGCATACACACTGGCACTGACTCAATGTGGACTTAAGTGACTGGTAAAATATCTGGCAACAATGACAATAAAACACACACAAGACACAGCTCTAACTTGACATGACACTTGGTATGACAGCAGAGTTTCCCTATAACACAACGACATAATGTATGATGCAGCCATTTCATCAGTTTTGAAGTTAGTCTTTGTGAGGGAATTATTAGGAGAAAGGACCAGTTTGAACTGTGTCGAAACAAATTTAATAAAAATGTCCCACCAACATTTTGTGTTTACCAGGAAATCAAACCAGTGAGAATGTAAAATCATTTTGCTTTTGAGTGAGTGAGTGAGTGAGTGAGTGAGTGAGTGAGTTTGGATTTACGCCACTTTTAGCAATATTCCTGCAACATCACTGCAGGGGACACCAGAAATGGGCTTCACACATTGTACGCATGTTGGGAATCGAACCCGGGTCTTCAGCGCGACGAGCGAACACTTTAACCACAAGGCTACCCCTACGCCCCATTTGCTTTTGAGTGATGTGACTGTTCGGATACGTTTTAATATAAATCAATCATGAAGAATGTTTGAGCAATAGGCAACTGCATTCAAGCACTCAAATGACAATTCTCTGAATTAAACTTCACAGGTCTTATTGAAATCTTTAAATCATTAACATTTGAAACATTTAAATCTTCTCTGAGTAGTGGTCTAGCAATGAATTACTTCTTGTTTAAAAATGTGGTTTTACAGAAGTGTATGATTTGGTTTAATAAAACAAGAGTTCATTGTGAGGAATGCATCCTATCCACCAGTGACAGGTGTCTTATTCACATCTATTCACATCTATTCACATCTATTCACATCTGTCAGGGTGAACCCAGGCATCCAGCGTCCGTCCGACCTTGGCCTTGAGCTCCTCCGTGGCGTCAGCCAACTGCTTCACTACATCCTGAAAGATGAGACAGGAATACATCACTTGTCGTCAGGCCTGTGGGAAATGTGTGGACACAGCGACGCACCATCACATCACACATAGGGGCTCGCATTTGTATTGCCTAATATAAGTTTTCCACACTAGCTGTGTTCATATTCTGCTCCCTTTATGTCTTCTGTGGGTGTATATTTTCATTGTCCCCTGTTGTATGTATGTCTATACGCTGTGATGTCTGTCAGTGGCGTGGAATTTAGCATAAGTCCCGCTACGATTGTCCCGATACAATACGTATCGTGATACTTTGTTCATAATGAAATATGTATCGTGATACTTTGTCATAATACAATATATATCGTGATACTTTGTCATAATACAATATGTATCCTGATACTTTGTCATAATACAATATGTATCCTGATACTTTGTCATAATACAATATGTATCGTGATACTTTGTCATAATGCAATATGTATCCTGATACTTTGTCATAATACAATATGTATCCTGATACTTTGTCATAATACAATATGTATCCTGATACTTTGTCATAATACAATATGTATCCTGATACTTTGTCATAATACAATATGTATCGTGATACTTTGTTCATAATGAAATATGTATCGTGATACTTTGTTCATAATACAATATGTATCGTGATTCTTTGTCATAATACAATATGTATCGTGATACTTTGTCATAATACAATATGTATCGTGATACTTTGTCATAATACAATATGTATCCTGATACTTTGTCATAATACAATATGTATCCTGATACTTTGTCATAATACAATATGTATCGTGATACTTTGTCATAATACAATATGTATCCTGATACTTTGTCATAATACAATATGTATCCTGATACCTTGTCATAATACAATTTGTATCCTGATACTTTGTCATAATACAATATGTATCGTGATACTTTGTCACAATACAATATGTATCGTGATACTTTGTCATAATACAATATGTTTTGTGATACTTTGTCATAATACAATATGTATCGTGATACTTTGTCATAATACAATATGTATCCTGATACTTTGTCATAATACAATATGTATCCTGATACTTTGTTCATAATACAATATGTATCGTGATACTTTGTTACAATACAATATGTATCCTGATACTTTGTCATAATACAATATGTATCCTGATACTTTGTTACAATACAATATGTATCCTGATACTTTGTCATAATACAATATGTATCGTGATACTTTGTTCATAATACAATATGTATCGTGATACTTTGTTCATAATGCGATATGTATCGTGATACTTTGTTACAATACAATATGTATCCTGATACTTTGTCATAATACAATATGTATCGTGATACTTTGTCATAATACAATATGTATCCTGATACTTTGTCATAATACAATATGTATCGTGATACTTTGTTACAATACAATATGTATCCTGATACTTTGTCATAATACAATATGTATCGTGATACTTTGTTCATAATACAATATGTATCCTGATACTTTGTTCATAATGCAATATGTATCCTGATACTTTGTCATAATACAATATGTATCCTGATACTTTGTCATAATACAATATGTATCGTGAAACTTTGTCATAATACAATATGTATCGTGATTCTTTGTCATGATACAATATGTTTCGTTATACTTTGTTAATAATACAATATTAATTCTACCATAAATTTGGAAATTACTTGATTCAGACGGGTCAATCAGAGGTTGTCAAATCATAATAAACCCCGTCTGATTGAAACAACTTATTTTACGGCCACATCACTGCGAAAGCTAATATTCATGGAATAGTACTTTTTTTCAGTCATTGCGGAAAGGCATACTTAAATAATTATATCTACAGTTATATCTTACAAAATGCAAAGTTGCGGTTACTACAATATTCAAAGGATGTGTGGCATTACATTTCGTGCAGTAAACACAATAGAAATGTACAAAGAGAATGCATTTGGGGTTTTGGGGACAACAGGGACTTGGAATATGGCGCTTTTCTATATATGGCTAGGACGTCTTTTTGAGTCATTTGTGGCACTTTTGAAAAAAATTATATATTTCCTAGAGTACGAACACTATTTAAAAGGTTTGAAACTTTCTGACTATCTGGTCTCATAATTCAAGACAAAAATGTTACTTTTCAATCAAAACTTGACTTTACATTCCGAATTGACAGGCAAAGTTGTAAACGACCCAGGATCATTCGACCGGCTCTGGGGTCCCTGGCCTCGTCATTCTCTACACACTGACGTATGAAGTCGTGGCTGTCAGTGGTAAAGTAGGGTGATACGTGTTTATGTTTGTCGAGTGTCCCGAATAAGCTAGAAATGTCCTGCATGTTGTACACATAGTTTTTTCCCAACCGATTTTCTTAATTTCCCTTCCCAATAGTATACGGGAAAACATGTGTTTCCATACACTGGATTTGTGTTGCTTCACTGGAGGTTCAAATTTTGTCGATGAAACTTTCATTTTCAATAAGTTCTTTCACACCTTTTGACAGTTTGCGCTGATATTGATGGAGGTGAGGTGAGGTGAAATGGGGTTTAACGTCGCGTCCAAGACTATTGCACTTATATAGCGACGTGCATGTACGTGTATGTGTTTGTGTGGCTGCTTGTACTAGTCCGGACTGATGTCGATTTATAGTGCTAGCTCACTGAGATACCATGCCGCAGTTTAACATGAATACCCCACTCAGACACAGTACACTGACTCCGAGCCGACCAGTCCTTGTTTTAGCCCCTTAATGCCGAGCGCCAGACATTGTAACAACAAGTACCATCTTTTAACGTCTTTTGGTATGACGCGGCCGGGGAACGAATCCCGGACCTTCTGCTCTCCGGGCGGACGCTCTACCACTAGACCACGGAGGCGGTGATATTGATGGGAATTCTGACATTCGATTGCATAGCATAAAAATTATCAGCCAATGAATTGTATGTAAAAAACGTGTCGCTCTTGCATGACCAGTAAGTGCTTGTTAAATGTTGATGGGCATTGATGTTCCAAAACTCGTTCAAAACTATTGCTGATTGGTTAAGTAGAGGAAGTTGACCAATGAAATCATAACAAACACTTTTATGATAAGGTAAAGCTTCAGTCAACTTCAGTGTAGGCAGGACCAGATTGTTTCATGTGTGTATCTGAATACTTTTGGCCAGGGCTCCGTTTAAACAATTCCCGGTCGGACATTTTGAACCCAACTCGTGAGTCCGACAACAAGTACTCAGGGTAGGGGTGGGTAATAGGGGGTCAGGTACCCAGATAGTAATTTGGACTCGTTCCTGCCCTAGTTTCTGGGGACCTATTCTAACCCAGTATCCCCCTGGGGCAGTAGACTGCTGGGGCCTATTCTGCCACAGGTTCCCATGGGGGCAGTAGACTGCTGGGGCCTGAAACCACAGGTTCCCCCGGGGGCAGTAGACTGCTGGGGCCTATTCTGCCACAGGTTCCCATTGGGGCAGTAGACTGCTGGGGCCTATTCTGCCACAGGTTCCCCCGGGGGTAGTAGACTGCTGGGGCCTAACACCACAGGTCCCCCCGGGGGCAGTAGACTGCTGGGGCCTATTCTGCCACAGGTTCCCACAGGGGTAGTAGACTGCTGGGCCCTATTCTGCCACAGGTTCCCCCGGGGGCAGTAGACTGCTGGGGCCTATTCTGCCACAGGTTCCCATGGGGGCAGTAGACTGTTGGGGCCTAAAACCACAGGTTCCCCCGGGGGCAGTAGACTGCTGGGGCCTATTCTGCCACAGGTTCCCATTGGGGCAGTAGACTGCTGGGGCCTATTCTGCCACAGGTTCCCATTGGGGCAGTAGACTGCTGGGGCCTATTCTGCCACAGGTTCCCACGGGGGCAGTAGACTGCTGGGGCCTAAAACCACGGGTCCCCACGGGGGCAGTAGACTGTTGGGGCCTATTCTGCCACAGGTCCTCACGGGGGCAGTAGACTGCTGGGGCCTATTCTGCAACAGGTCCCTCTGGGGGGCAGTAGACTTCAGTGTAGGCAGGACCAGATTGTTTCATGTGTGTATCTGAATACTTTTGGCCAGGGCTCCGTTTAAACAATTCCCGGTCGGACATTTTGAACCCAACTCTTGAGTCCGACAGCAAGTACTCAGGGTAGGGGCGGGTAATAGGGGGTCAGGTACCCAGATAGTAATTTGGACTCGTTCCTGCCCTAGTTTCTGGGGACCTATTCTAACCCAGTATCCCCCTGAGGCAGTAGACTGCTGGGGCCTATTCTGCCACAGGTTCCCATGGGGGCAGTAGACTGCTGGGGCCTATACTGCCACACGTTCCCAAGGGAGCAGTAGACTGCTGGGGCCTAAAACCACAGGTTCCCCCGGGGGCAGTAGACTGCTGGGGCCTAACACCACAGGTTCCCACGGGGGCAGTAGACTGCTGGGGCCTAAAACCACAGGTTCCCCCGGGGGCAGTAGACTGCTGGGGCCTAACACCACAGGTTCCCACGGGGGCAGTAGACTGCTGGGGCCTAACACCACAGGTTCCCCCGGGGGCAGTAGACTGCTGGGGCCTAACACCACAGGTTCCCCCGGGGGCAGTAGACTGCTGGGGCCTAACACCACAGGTTCCCCCGGGGGCAGTAGACTGCTGGGGCCTAACACCACAGGTTCCCACGGGGGCAGTAGACTGCTGGGGCCTAACACCACAGGTTCCCCCGGGGGCAGTAGACTGCTGGGGCCTAACACCACAGGTTCCCCCGGGGGCAGTAGACTGCTGGGGCCTAACACCACAGGTTCCCCCGGGGGCAGTAGACTGCTGGGGCCTAACACCACAGGTTCCCCCGGGGGCAGTAGACTGCTGGGGCCTAAAACCACAGGTTCCCACGGGGGCAGTAGACTGCTGGGGCCTAACACCACAGGTTCCCCCGGGGGCAGTAGACTGCTGGGGCCTAAAACCACAGGTTCCCACGGGGGCAGTAGACTGCTGGGGCCTAACACCACGGGTCCCCACGGGGGCAGTAGACTGCTGGGGCCTAACACCACAGGTCCCCCCGGGGTGAGGTGAGGTGAGGTGAGTCAAGGTGAGGCCGAGCGCCAGACAGGGTACCATCTTTTAACGTCTTTTGGTATGACACGGCCAGGGATCGATCCCCGGACCTTCGGTTCACCGGGGGGACGCTCTACCACTAGACCACGGAGGCGGTCCCTATTGTGTATACATGTGCGTGCAAAACTTACATCGGACAGCTTGACGATGTTGCTGTTCTCCACTATCTGCTGTGGGGTGCTTGCTCCTACGATGGCGACGGGGACGTTCTCCTGCTGCAACAGCCACGACAGCGCTGCCTTCGCCATTGGTACACTGGCCTTGTCACACACACCCCGGATCCGCTGGAGGGCCTGGAGTCAGACAAAGCACTGCTGTAGAAATCTCAGTCATAGGGGTTCATGGTATCCCAATTGCCTAGAGCGATACTCATACAGTCAAGTCTCGTTAATCCGACACTTGTTAATCTGACAATTGGCTTTATCCGACACTAATGGTGGGAACCAATTAAATCAGTGCCATTTAGACTTGTTAATCTGACAGTCTCGCACTCCAACTCCGACACACCTTATTTGCTGAAATCACTTTATAAACAGTCTCGTAAATCTGACACAGTGATCAGCGTACTCCCTGGTCATCTGCCCGCGAGTACACAGCCCGTGTTTTGATCCGAGACGAGCCGGCGAGTAGCTGCATATTTCAACGGCTGCAGAGATAAACTTGCTAAAAAATAACCAATTACTGCTTTGAATAAACAATACAGGATTATTCACATGCCTAGATTACTTCAATCTCATTAAAATCGGATACAAGTTCTCGCAACCGCTGAGGACATCCCATTACAGGTCACGTCAGAACGACCTTTCGCGAACTTTGACCGACCAATGAAATTACTAACAGGAAATCAATATGAGAAAGCAGCTTTCTTATACATTGCAGCACTAGTTTGAAATTGCCGATTTCCATTCCAGACTATGCTTTTAATGTATTTTGAATCAGTCATACAGTTCGTAACAGTAGTTTTGTGTTAGACTTTAGAGGTTGCATGATAAGAAAACATATTCCGCTAACAATCTAACATAACAATATAAATATTTCCTTTTTCCTTTTTGAATTGTGTAGTTGTCCGATTTTATATCATAAACGTTGATACTACCTAATTTCTTTTAGTTGACATACTCGTTAATCCAACATAATCATATGCAACCAACAATGTTGAATTAATGGGACTTGACTGTACCTGACATTTAGACCAGACAATCCAGTGACTGACATCAACATCCATCTTCACAACTGTGATACGATGAGATGCATCTACCAAGTCAGTGAGCCTGTCACCCAATCCCGTTAGTCGGCTCTTACGACAAGCATGGGTTGCTGAAGACCAATTCTTACCCCGATCTTCACAGAGTTAAGGATTTTAGAAACAAAACTATCGAACTGCTCCTAAAAGTACCAGCCTCTCACACAAGCACTTTTATTTGTTCGTTATTTTGTAAACCAAGTAACCAAGTCAAGATTCCTGACATATTCAAACCTGGAATCCCCAATGACAGAGTCAGCTGCCTAAAGTGAGTGAGTGAGTGAGTTGGGTTTAACGCCGCTTTTAACAGTATTCCAGTTATATCATGGCGTGTCAGCTTAATGTGGGAGGAAAGCCCGAAGTGATGCAGGTCTCAGACATTTACCACTTCGGTGAAACCCTCGAGCACGGGTATGGTGCTGACAAACCTAGAAACATAATCGGGGCGAACCGAGATTCGAACCCACAATTATAGGTTTCTGGCATGCCCAAGGGATGCAACACTGCACAGGGAATCGCGGCGCCTTAGACGACTGGGCCACCCGTGCCCCCCTGCCTAAAGTGAGAGCATGGCTACATTTACTGTACCTCAAACACCTCCTTCTCGGCGCCATCTTGACCATGTCGACTCAACTGGGTGCTGAAACAGTGAGGATGGACATCAGCAGATGAATGCATACTTTGTAATGTCACATCAGCAATCTTGCTGCTTTTAGTTAACAGCAATGTGAAGTAAGAGGTTATGTATCAATGATGCTGTAGGCAGAGTGCCAGAAATTAAAGGAAGCAATCAACATATACCCAAAGGCTAGGAGACCTACAGTAACATGTGACCAAAATATACATGTCACAATTGAATTCCATTTCATGTTGATACTCCATCTTGTTTACATCTCAAAACGAAACAAACAATTTACATTACATGAATTGGGAAGTTTTTCAATACAAATTTGAGAAGTTTTAACAAATTTATGCAAATATCGGCTTCCAAGCAGGTTTCGAAACCTGAATTGTTTTTTTATATATCATTGTTTTATCCACCTACTGACTAGGACTTTCAACACACAAAAAAATCACAAATCAAGAAACAGAAAAGTCTGTCCTGACAGAATAAACCGATTGGACCGGAATACTTGCAACATGAAGGCCCAGGGGCAGATAACTCTAACTGACCTGTCACGAGAGAAGAGTTTTCCTCTCCTCCTTCCCTCGGGGACATCGTCGAGGGTGGCATACTTGCCAGTCAGCAGCCCCTGTTGTAGAGGTGAGTAGGCCAGGACACTCATATTGTTCTCCTTGCACACCGGCAGGACGTCGTACTCCGCCGACCGCCACAGTAGGTTGTACCCCATCTGTAATAACATTCAGGGTTGGTTGGTTTGTTGTTTAAGACCTCTTCTAACCCGGGTCGTGTCCGGACTAACGAGAGCGTGTGAGTGGTTGGTTGGTTGTTTAACGCCGCACTCAGCAATATTCCAGCTATGACGGCGGTCTGTAAATAATCGAGTCTGGACCAGACAATCCAGTGATTAATATCATGAGCATCGATCCATGCAATTGGGATCGATGACCTGCATCAACCAAGTCAGCGAGCCTGACCACCCGATCCTGTTAGTCGCCTTTTACGACAAGCATAGTCACATTTTAAGGCAAGCATGGGTTGCTGAAGACCTATTCTACCCCGGATCTTCACGGGCCTTAGCACTGACAGAGGATTCAATAAACCCTCTTTGCTTACTAGCGTTTGTTACAAAGTATTATGATGTCAAGCCTTACCACCATAAACTACAGCAACTATTTTGTACTCCTAAAGTCTCAGTGATGAGAGTGTGTGAGTATGGTTTTACGCCGCTTTTAGCACTTTCCAGCAATATCACAGTGGGGGGCACCAGAAATGGGCTTCATACATCGTACCCATGACGGGAATCGAACCCGGGTCTTTGGTGAACGAATGTTTTAACCACGAGGCTACCCGACCGCCCCCTCAGTGTTAAGAAATGTCAGCAGACGAAACCCCTGTATACTTAAAGAAATCTAATGTATACTCTCCTACTCATGCAAATGCATCTGTTATCATGGTTATTCAAATGACTTTCTTGTATATATGTCCATGTACCACTGTGAGTGTTTATTAATTGAAACTAAACAAGGTAAACGTGTCGCCATTATGATGGCTTTAATGTCATTAGTCCATCTGGGGCTGATGAAACTTGCGTAGGAAACTGCATCAAAATCAAAATCAAAATTTTTCGCTTATTGAGAACATAAGTTCTTATAGTGGAATATAATGATAAGGATTGACTGAGATTTTTATAAAAATATGCAGTCAATCCTTACATGAATATGTGTTATATGTAGCTTCTCCTTTATAGGTGAGTGATTTTGTCTCTGATGGACAGTTTGGGCTGTATACTCCCCATGGAGCTGAGAATGAAAATCAAGTGCACACTGATCCACAGACCAGGGCAATAATGGTTTCTAGCTCCATAAGAATTCCCTTATAGAAAGCATATATCATTATTGATACCACCATCAAGACAAACATGACACCAGTTCACAGCAGTCAACTTGAATATAACACATACCTGGTTTGATATCGGCCTTCCTCCGGCAGCAATGAATTGTTTCAAGTTTTTCGGACCAAAATTTGAAACAGCGTAGTACTTCAGTCGTCCCAGGGAAATCTGCCTGTTGAGTTCTGTGACAGTCTCATCGTAATCCTTGATAAATGCTGGAAAATGAATCTGGCAGAGAAAAAGAGTTCATTAAATAATGACAGTATGCATCTCAAAAAGTTGAGAATAACCATGGTAACATTTTTACAGCTTCATTCCCACAAAAGCTAACCCAGAACAAACAAAATTTTAGTTTTTTTTGGTAAAAGTGATGTAATGACACAAAACCGCAAATGCGAGAGATATGAGAGGTGTTTTCTGATTGGTCAATAGGAGGGACACAGAAGTCCCAGAACTCGAAATAGCCACTAGTTGCGCTACAATTGAGCCCAGAAATTCCAGCCTAGTTTGGCAAGTTTGGAAATTGGACTTTTCTAGTCAGTTTACACCCTTGCCTCGGGAAGAACTGGACTTTCTAGTCAGTTTATGCACTTGCCTTGCGAAGAACTGGACTTTTCTAGTCAGTTTACGCCCTTGCCTCAGGAAGAACTGGACTTTTCTAGTCAATTTACGCCCCTGGCCTCGGGAAGAACTGAACTTTTCTAGTCAGTTTACGCCCTTGCCTCGGCTCGACTGTAGATGCACGGCTAAGGACAACTCTGTCCAATGGGTCGGACTGTAGATGCACGGCTAAGGATAACTCTGTCCAATGTGTTCGACTGTAGATGCACGGCTAAGGATAACTCTGTCCAATGGGTTCGACTGTAGATGCACGGCTAAGGATAACTCTGTCCAATGGGTTCGACTGTAGATGCACGGCTAAGGACAACTCTGTCCAATGGGTTCGACTGTAGATGCACGGCTAAGGACAACTCTGTCCAATGGGTTCGACTGTAGATGCACGGCTAAGGACAACTCTGTCCAATGGGTCTGACTGTAGATGCACAGCTAAGGACAACTCTGTCCAATGGGTTCGACAGTAGATGTACATCTCAGGACAACTCTGTCCAGTGGTTCGACTGTAGATGCACGGCTAAGGACAACTCTGTCCAATGGGTTCGACTGTAGATGCACGGCTAAGGACAACTCTGTCCAATGGGTCTGACTGTAGATGCACAGCTAAGGACAACTCTGTCCAATGGGTTCGACAGTAGATGTACATCTCAGGACAACTCTGTCCAGTGGTTCGACTGTAGATGCACGGCTAAGGACAAATCTGACCATTGGGTTTGACTGTAGATGCACGGCTAAGGACAACTCTGTCCAATGGGTTCGACTGTATATACACAGCTAAGGACAACTCTGTTCAATGGGTTCGACTGTAGAAGTACTGCTTAGGACTGTTTTCTAGGGGGATATTAGGATCACAAACTGATAGAATACCAAGGGTTAGATGAAACTGAAGGGGATTATCATGAACCAACTTTCAGCATCAGAGGGAAAGTTTGATAAGGTTCTTAACAAATACTAATGTTGTATGGGCAATCTCATTGAAATCAGATCTTAGTTCTCGTTGTCGCTAAACAAAGATCTGAGGACATCCCATTACAGGTCACGTCAGAACGACCTTTCATCTGACCAATCAAAGAGTCGCTTACCAGATCATGAAAGTGACAGTCGGAATGTGTTTTATAATCATGCAACCTTGAAACGTTAAAACGGGGTATTCCGAATGACAGTTACGGCCCGTATGACTGATTCCATCAAAATTATTGATAAACATTTGAACGGAGGTGGCGTTGCACAGTACGTGGGAAGCACTGCCATACAATCGCAACCATATATTAGACATTCCAGAATGTTTGTTTGTTCACTTTTCAAAATTTTCATCGAGAACTGTGTCAATATATTTTTTAAGCGTCGTCTGAAATGGAAGTCACCAGGTTGAAGCGAGTGCCGTAAGGCTCGAGAAAGCTGCTTTCTCATTGGCTGATATTGACTTCTTGTTATTCGTTTCAGTGGTCGGTCAAAGGTCGCAAAAGGTTGTGTGACCCGTAATGGAATGTCCTTAGACCTTCGTTTAGCAGAAGCAAGAACTTAGATCTGATTTTACTGAGATTGGTTGTATGGTGCAACTTATTTCAGTCTATTAATAGATTTCTCAAATGATTTTTCACAGGTGCAAATTTAACTTAAGTAGAACAAGTCATAGATCAGGGGTGTCACAATTCACTGACAACTAACGGGGCAAGTAGACTTATTTCACTCGTATCAATTCATCCCTCACCATTTTTAATAAAATATGCAGGTAAATTTCAATCCTAAAATATGTTTTCATTTCTCAAACACTTGTAGTAATAATAATGAAATACATGTCGCTTATATCATAACTAGAAGGCATACTTGGCGTCTGTCTGTTCAAAAACTAAACAAAAAAGTGTGTTGGCGTAGCAGGTCTTGAAACTATTTTTTAAAGGGATGCAATTATATTTATTTTTGTTGTAAGCAACTCGTTACTGATTCTCAAATATCAAAGCAAAAGTGAATGATTTTGTGAGGGTTATGACTGGGGTTTTTTAAATCGAGAATGACTGGGTTGATGAGAAAAAAACATGATTTGATTACCAAACAGGCCCAAAACTGAATTTATTTTCTTTAAAAACAGTATGACTAAAAAACAAAAACAAAATGTTCATATTAACTCAAAGGTTAATTACAGAAAATGGTAATAATAACTGAGAACATAAAACTCTATAAAATTAAACAGGGCAAGTGAATATATTGCAGGACGAGTACAAAATAACATCTACTTGCCCTACAGGACAATTTGGGTTTAAGAGATTTTTTTATTAGCCCTGACAGTGAACATAGCACACCTATGTGGTGAAGGATGCACACACCTGTATAAGATCAATATAGTCGGTCTTCATCTTCTTCAGGGCTTTGTCGATGGAGTTTTGGATGTCCTCTGCTGAGTATGGTGGGGTGCCAGGGCCTTCCCTAAACCCATACTTGGTTGCTATGACAGCATCTCGGCGCCTCCCCTCCAGACACGCTCCCAGAGCCTCCTCTGAACCAGCATAGCCCTGAAGTGAGTGAGTGAGAGAATGTTGTTTATTTAGCAATAATATTCCAGCTACATTGTGGCAGTCTGTAAATAATCAAGTCTTGACCAGATATTCAAAGCATGTGCAGCAATCTGTGTAACAGGGGACAGTGATACATACACATTCAGCCGAGTCGCTGACCTTGACTAGACATCTATTTTAGCTGATTCATACAACATGCATAGATCAGTGGGGACATGCGGGACAAGTTCAACAGAGGCATCGTAATCTTGAAAGCAGATAACAATTATGACGACAGACAAATCTGCTGTGGATGCAAACATATATGGGCCAACAACATCTGGTAAAATAATTTCCCTTTTTTATTTCAATGTTCCACAGAAAGTAAGACCTGCCTATTTGTGACAATTAAATTATATGCAGATATTCTACAGTAATTTGCATTTAAAAGAATCTTCATACCCAATTTTTATGGTTGATAAAATACAAACCTTACTACAGCCCTAATACACGTCATGCTACAGCCCCAATACATACCTTATTAGAGAATCAATATAAACATCTTACAACAATCTCCCTACATACGGTACAACAGCCCCATACATTTCATACTACAGCCCCAAAACAAATAATAATACATCCCCCATACACATTTGACTACAACCCCAATACACATCTTACTACAGGCCCGATGCACATCTTACTACAGCCCCAATAACATCTTACTACAGCCCCGATGCACATCTTACTACACCCCCAACAACATCTTACTACAGCCCCAACAACATCTTACTACAGCCCAGATACACATCTTACTACAGCCCCAACAACATCTTACTACATCCCCGATGCACATCTTACTACAGCCCCAACAACATCTTACTACAGCCCCGATGCACATCTTACTACAGCCCCAACAACATCTTACTACAGCCCCGATGCACATCTTACTACAGCCCCGATACACATCTTACAACACCCCCAACAACATCTTACTACAGCCCCGATGCACATCTTACTACACCCCCAACAACATCTTACTACAGCCCCGATGCACATCTTACTACAGCCCCAACAACATCTTACTACAGCCCAGAAACACATCTTACTACAGCCCCAACAACATCTTACTACAGCCCCGATACACATCTTACTACAGCCCCGATACACATCTTACTACAGCCCCAACAACATCTTACTACAGGCCCGATGCACATCTTACTACACCCCTAACAACATCTTACATCAGCCCCGATGCACATCTCACTACAGCCCCAACAACATCTTACTACAGCCCCGATACACATCTTACTACACCCCCAACAACATCTTACTACAGCCCCGATACACATCTTACTACACCCCCAACAACATCTTACTACAGCCCCGATGCACATCTTACTACAGCCCAAACAACATCTTACTACAGCCCAGATACACATCTTACTACAGCCCCAACAACATCTTACTACAGCCCCGATGCACATCTTACTACAGCCCCGATACACATCTTACTACAGCCCCAACAACATCTTACTACAGGTCCGATGCACATCTTACTACAGCCCCGATGCACATCTTACTACACCCCCAACATCTTACTACAGCCCCGATGCACATCTTACTACACCCACAACAACATCTTACTACATCCCCGATGCACATCTTACTACAGCCCCGATACACATCTTACTACAGCCCCAACAACATCTTACTACAGCCTCGATGCACATCTTACTACAGCCCTGATTCACATCTTACTACAGCCCCAACAACATCTTACTACAGCCCCGATACACATCTTACTACACCCCCAACAACATCTTACTACACCCCCAACAACATCTTACTACAGCCCCTATGCACATCTTACTACAGCCCTCATACACAGCTTACTACAGCCCTCATACACAGCTTACTACACCCAAAAGAACATCTTACTACAGCCCCGATGCACATCTTACTACAGCCCCAAGAAACACTCTACTACAACCCGAAAGTACTTACCTCTGCCGTGTCAAAGAAATTGATGCCCTGTTCAAAACACTTGTCAACAATTGCCTTTGAGGTCTGAAAACACAAATTTCACAGATGAATAAAGTTGTTTATCACATAATAATGTATTTATATCAGTCACCAACTGATTTTTCACTAATGATTTGTCCACAATACAGAGACATACTTCCCATGCCCTACACAGTACAGAGACACACGTCTCATGCCCAACACAGTACAGACACTTCTCATGCCCTACACAGTACAGACACTTCTCATGCCCTACACAGTACAGACACACTTCTCATGCCCTACACAGTACAGACACACTTCTCATGCCCTACACAGTACAGAGACACACTTCTCATGCCCTACACAGTACAGACACTTCTCATGCCCTACACAGTATCGACACATGTCTCATACCCTACACAGTACAGACACACTTCTCATGCCCTACACAGTACAGACATACTTCTCATGCCCTACACAGTACAGAGACACACTTCTCATGCCCTACACAGTACAGAGACACACTTCTCATGCCCTACACAGTACAGAGACACACTTCTCATGCCCTACACAGTACAGAGACACACTTCTCATGCCCTACACAGTACAGACACTTCTCATGCCCTACACAGTACAGACACACTTCTCATGCCCTACACAGTACAGACACTTCTCTTGCCCTAAACAGTACCGACATACTTCTCTTGCCCTAAACAGTACAGACATACTTTTCATGCCCTACACAGTACAGACACACTTCTCATGCCCTACACAGTACAGACACTTCTCATGCCCTACACAGTACCGACATACTTCTCATGCCCTACACAGTACAGACACTTCTCATGCCCTACACAGTACAGACATACTTCTCATGCCCTACACAGTACAGACACTTCTCATGCCCTAAACAGTACAGACACTTCTCTTGCCCTACACAGTACAGACACGTCTCATGCCCTACACAGTACAGACACTTCTCATGCCCTACACAGTACAGACATACTTCTCATGCCCTAAACAGTACAGACACTTATCTTGCCCTACACAGCACAGACACACTTCTCATGCCCTACACAGTACAGACACTTCTCATGCCCTACACAGTACAGACATACTTCTCATGCCCTACACAGTACAGACACACGTCTCATACCCTACACAGTACAGACACTTCTCATGCCCTACACAGTACAGACACTTCTCATGCCCTACACAGTACAGACATACTTCTCATGCCCTACACAGTACCGACACACTTCTCATACCCTACACAGTACAGAGACACACTTCTCATGCCCTACACAGTACAGAGACACACTTCTCATGCCCTTCACAGTACAGACACGTCTCATGCCCTACACAGTACAGACATACTTCTCATGCCCTACACAGTACAGAGACACACTTCTCATGCCCTACACAGTACAGACACGTCTCATGCCCTACACAGTACAGACATACTTCTCATGCCCTACACAGTACAGAGACACACTTCTCATGCCCTACACAGTACAGAGACATTCTTCTCATGCCCTACACAGTACAGAGACACACTTCTCATGCCCTACACAGTACAGAGACACACTTCTCATGACCTACACAGTACAGACACGTCTCATGCCCTACACAGTACAGACACTTCTCATGCCCTACACAGTACAGACACTTCTCATGCCCTACACAGTACAGAGACACACTTCTCATGCCCTACACAGTACAGAGACACACTTCTCATGCCCAACACAGTACCGACACTTCTCTTGCCCTACACAGTACAGACACTTCTCTTGCCCTAAACAGTACAGACACACTTCTCATGCCCTACACAGTACAGACACTTCTCTTGCCCTAAACAGTACCGACATACTTCTCATGCCCTACACAGTACAGACACTTCTCTTGCCCTACACAGTACAGACATACTTCTCATGCCCTACACAGTACAGACACTTCTCTTGCCCTACACAGTACCGACATACTTCTCATGCCCTACACAGTACAGACACTTCTCATGCCCTACACAGTACAGACATACTTCTCATGCCCTACACAGTACAGAGACACACTTCTCATGCCCTACACAGTACAGACACTTCTCATGCCCTACACAGTACAGACACTTCTCATGCCCTACACAGTACAGACATACTTCTCATGCCCTACACAGTACAGACACGTCTCATACCCTACACAGTACAGAGACACACGTCTCATGCCCTACACAGTACAGACACTTCTCATGCCCTACACAGTACAGACACGTCTCATGCCCTACACAGTACAGACACTTCTCATGCCCTACACAGTACAGAGACACACTTCTCAAAAAAGGCGACATATATAAGTATTTGTGTCTGCCATATTGTTCGCCATGAGAAATGTGTGTTGTGAATAATTATGAGCATATTACAGCACAGGTAATGTTGTGTCAGTAAGGATTAGATAAGGGTATATTTACGTAGGTTTATCTATGACATTCTATTTGAGATTACGTTTATAGTAGGTTTAGAATGAATTAATATGGCAGTAGATTACTATGTACCGTAATAAGCGCCCAGGGCCCTCTCAAAATAAGAAATAGGGGGCTCTTATTAGAATATTATTTTGGTGAGAAAAAAAAAAAGATTTGAAAGATAAATTTTGTGGTTTATGCTGACAGCCTGAAATGTTTATATACGACAGATATATTTTTCCAGAATTTAATTGCCCATAATTAAGGGTGCATATAACACACGAGTGATTATTATACGCGAATAAATAAGTGTTGTGTACAATGATCAATGGGAAGGGGTGCTAATTGGTATTGTCCACTAGCCAATATATTAGCAAATATAGCCATGGGCCCTTATTAGAGCGGGGCACTTATTACGCCGAATACGGTATATTATTTTATGATATTTATATTTAAGTTATAGTGACTTGCGAGATTTACACCACAATAACCTGCTACATTGATATTGTTGTAATTTTAAAGCCTCCATAGGGTGCTGTATAGTCTATCTCCCAAACCCTAAAGAAAAAAAGTAAAAAGGAGTCCAACTCAAGTCTAGATTCTGGGTTCCATTTGGATTTTATTCTTTCTATTTTGTGGACATATATTTTAAACAAGTTAACTTTATTTCTGGAACTTAATGTCAGTCTAGGTGTTGTTCCACAACATATTCTCTATTGTGAGGAAAGTATGACGAAAAACTTTCCAACCCAGGCCATTCAACCCCTTTATCAAATGTATGTCAAGGCTTCAGAGAGTTTTGTCGCTGAACTGAGGTGATAGTCAACCTAATTGACACTGCAGGTAATGCCTGACACAGATAGGAAGACGAGGTCAGAAGATTAACTCAGGAGGCACAAGACGTGAGGTACATGGGTACTTCATGATTAAACTGGCCATCAGCATTGAACAGAGAAACAAAGACCCACACGTACGAGGCTCTACAGCTCACGTACATGTTTCTGTGATTATATTCACCAAAACTTTTCTGGAATTACACTTCATTGATCATGTGAACATATTTACAAATGAATATGATGTTTTACATATTGTTCCATTTAGGACCTGGTCCTGATCCACAAAATAATCTTACTCCTACAACTGGCGTAAGTCTATGTTAAAGTATGGTAGTTAGGATCACCTTTGCTCCGATCGCTTTGTAGAACGGGGCCCATATTACCATGGTTAATGAATAGGGTATCATTTGATGGTTTTGACAATGTTTTCAAGAAGGCCTCTTCTTGCATATTTTCAACAATGAATACAGTCAGGCAGCGGTAGAAACGAACATTTTTAGTCCACTAGTCCTCTTAATGATAATATATAGTAAATCCTTAAAAAATGGCAAATTTCAACTAGTCCTTATGATACGTTAACCATTGGGAGTTTTGCAAGGACTACATAAGCATGTAAAAATAAATACCTTACACAAACATGACCTTGTAAATGTCTGTGTCATCAATAATCGTTTACAACAGACTTTCAACAGTTTCGCTCAGAAAATACTAGAATTCTGACACTTGTTTCGTAAAATCAGTATGACACGTGTAATAACCTGTTTAGGTAAGCGGGTCAGTAGCTATGATATAGATCTATTTGTCGGACCCCAGTATTGTCATGAGAAGTAATAGTTTGCAACTGATAATATACACGTTATGAGTCGTGAGGGGGATGCATAACAACTGCTTTGGGGTCTATACTTTGTTACACAGTGTTTTTTGTTGGTAATATGATATCCGTTATAGATCTCAAAGATAAGCCATCCCTAGGCCCCTCTGCAGAAGGACCAGCACTGAGCCTGTTAATGGAATGTCATTTTGAACCTTGAAACTCCACAATCTCTGCTCAGATCCGGGCACATTCTGAACACTGGAGGATATAGTATCTAAGGAGCTGTACCTCCTTCACTCCACAACGTCGGATATCATGAGTCCGTAATACAAGGAAGGGGAGGGACCGGCAAAATCTTACTTTGTGCAGAGTCTGCCAGATATGTAACGGTGGTCTTACCTCTAAACTCTGTCCGTCCCAATTAACCGTCGTCTTTCCCATGTTGAACTGCCATGTCCCCAAACAAATAGGGGACACTTCCAGATCGGTTCCTCCAAGTTTCACTCTGGCCATAGCTGCAGATACTGGTATGCCGTGCGCTCGACTGTTGACGACGTAGGTCGGAGTTACCTCCCGTTGTACTCGATATAGCAAGCTCCATGTCAGCGCGTGACACCTTCGTTGCAACTCTCGGTATACGGTATATCACTGTGAGGAGCTTGTCGATATAGGGGTCAGCGCTTGTTGCAAGCTCATTCTTCGCGTGATAACTTCGATACGCTATCATAATTGGCTGAGTCTTGACATTGACGCTTCTTTGCTGTTTAACATGTTAAGATAACCGGTGGCTGCAAACATGGGCAACTATCGCAGTGATTACATTAACCTATCGGCTCTTGTCTAAATTTGTATTTCAAGTGAGTGAGTATGGTTTTACGCCGCTTTTAGCACTATTCCTGCAATATCACGGCGGGGTACACCAGAAATGGGCTTCACACATTGTATCCGTGTCAGGAATCGAACCCCGGTCGTCGGCGTGACGAGCGAACGCTCTAACCACCAGGCTACGCGACCGCCCATTTGTATTTCAAGCATGGCCGGGGTTCTGAAAACTATTTTAATATTTCTTGGGATCCCCACAGAGTAATGTCCAGAGACCCATGGTGAAGATTTGAACACTGGTTGTCTTCGGGAACTGTGTCTCCCTTATACTCAAACTCTTGACTTGATCCATCCCCGGATCTTCACGGGTCGTCAACAAGGACCAATCCAAAAGACCCGTGAAGATTCCGGGGTAGAATAGGTCTTCAGCAACCCATACTTGCCGTAAAAGGTGACTATGCTTGTCGTAAAAGGCGACTAACGGGATCGGATGGTCAGGCTCGCTGACTTGGTTGATGCATGTCATCGATCCCAATTGCGTGGACCGATGCTCTTGATATTAATCACTGGATTGTCTGGTCCAGACTCGATTATTTCACAGACCGCCGTCATATAGCTGGAATATTGCTGAGTGCGGCGTTAAACAACCAACCAACCAATGATCCATCCCCGGTGATATATGCTTTGTAGACCATTGTGACGTCAAAATCAGTTGACGCCACTATTCCCTGTCACTGGTTTGCTGCAATTAGTATATTCACGATATGGTTAGTATTGTTTATAAACTGAAAAGGTTGAAAGAATGGTATATTAGGGTGATAAATAGAATCGGCAAGCCTGGTTCATGTGAGATTCTCTGTCTGTTATGATCTATACCCTAGACCCAATTGCCACCATAGCGCTTCGTTCAGGAAGTGACGTCATCATCTCGGTATCTCCTTAAATAAACCTCGGACAGAATTACTCTCGCTCGTGCGTGTAATATGAGTACTGGTAGACGGCCATTTTTAACATCGCTTTTAACATTTTATAATCTGTTATCTTTATTAAAAAAATGTTTGACAACTCACATTAATATTTTATATTGTGATAAGTCCCGAGTTCAGCGCGTGCCACGTTATGTTTGTTGTTATTCTTTTTCTTCGATATAAAAAAATATCAACTAGCTGTTCTTCCCGAATCACTTTTGTTCTCAATACAAATTTAAAATTCCTACCTTCCTCTTCTCTTTTGCGAAAAAAGTGCGCGTGAAACAGTTAATAATTTTATACAGCCTTGTGATTAAGAGCCTGGACCAGTTTGCCAACATATGTAGCTGCGTTTTAACAGTGACGTCACCATCACACTGTCTCTTATTGCTAACTATGCACCAATTTCCTCTGTGTGGGGGTAACTTAAATTTTAGGCCGCTTTTAACACTATTCCGGGGCGGTCGGGTAGCCTAGTGGTTAAAGCGTTCGCTCGTCACGCCGAAGACCCGGGTTCTATTCCCGACATGGGTACAATGTGTGAAGCCCATTTCTTGTGTCCCCCGCCGTGATATTGCTAGAATATTGCTAAAAGCAGCGTAAAACCATATTCACTCACTCACTTTAACACTATTCCACATATATATATAACATTTTGGCCAATGGCTGTGAGACATCATGGTTTTCAAAGGAACTGTCAACAAGAGGTTTGTTTGGTTGGTTGTTGTTTTACGCCGCACTCAGCAATAGTCCAGCTATAGGATGGCGGTCTGTAAATAATCGAGTCTGCACCAGACAATCCAGTGATTGATATCATGAGCATTGATCCACGATCTACACAACTGGGATACGATGGCATACATCAACCAAGTCGGCGAGACTGACCACCCGATCCCGTTAGTCGCCTTTTACGACAAGCATAGTCGCCTTTTACGGCAAGCATGGGCTGCTGAAGACCTATTCTACCCCGGATCTTCACGGGTCGTCAACAAGAGGACCAATTCTAATGACATAGTGTCATTGGTTTTCAGCATATCCGTCGTTGCTTTGTGTTGCACCCCTTTATCTAGCATCGTATCATATCAGCGACTATGTTTGTTTGTTTGTTTGTTTGTTTGTTCCTGCTTAACGCAACATTCCAGCTATATGACGGCGGTCTGTAAATAATCGAGTCTGGACCAGACAATCCAGTGATTGATACTGATATCATGACCATCGATGCACGCAAATATGATACGATGATATGATATAGATAGGGTTTGTTGAACGACTAGGGTGTGTATTGGATGACTAGTGTGTATTGGATGACGAGGGTGTGTATTGGATGACTAGTGTGTATTGGATGACGAGGGTGTGTATTGGATGACTAGTGTGTGTATTGGATGGCTAGTGTGTGTATTGGATGACTAGTGTGTGTATTGGGTGACTAGAGTGTATTGGGTGCCTAGGGTGTGAATTGGATGACTAGTGTGTGTATTGGGTGACTAGAGTGTATTGGGTGCCTAGGGTGTGAATCGGATGCCTAGGGTGTGTATTGGGTGACTAGGGTGTGTATTGAATGACTAGGGTGTGTATTGGGTGCCTAGAGTGTGTACTGGGTGCCTAGAGTGTGACTAGGGTGTGTATTGGTGGACTTGGGAGTGTATTGGCTGACTAGGGTGTGTACTAGATGACTAGTGTGTATTGGGTGACTACGGTGTATATTGGGTGCCTAGAGTGTATTGGGTACCTAGGGTGTGAATTGGATGCCTAGGGTGTGTATTGTGTGACTAGGGTGTGTATTGAATGACTAGGATGTGTATTGGGTGACTAGAGTGTGTATTGGATGACTAGGGTGTGTATTGGGTGACTAGGGTGTGTATTTGGGTGACTAGGGTGTGTATTGGGTGAATAGAGTGTGTATTGGATGACTAGGGTGTGTGTTGATTGACTAGGGTGTGTATTGATTGACTAGGGTGTGTATTGATTGACTAGGGTGTGTATTGATTGACTAGGGTGTGTATTGGGTGACTAGGGTGCACATTGGTTGTCTAGAGTGTGTATTGGGTGACTAGGGTGTGTATTGATTGACTAGGGTGTGTATTGGGTGACTAGGGTGTATACTAGATGATTAGTGTGTATTGGGTGACTACGGTGTATATTGGGTGCCTAGAGTGTGTTTTGGTTGTCTAAAGTGTGTATTTGGATGACTAGGGTGTGTATTGGATGAGAAGAGTGTGTATTGGGAGACTAGGGTGTGTATTGGATAATTAGGCTGTCTATTGGGTGATTATGGTGTGTTTGGGTGGACTAGGTTTGTATTGGCCTGGTTTGGTTAGCTAGGGTGGGTATTTGTTGGCTAGGGCGAGGTTTGGTTTGCAAGTGTAGGTATTTGTTGATTAGGGCTTGGTTTGGTTAGCTAGAGAGGGTATTCGGTAACTTAGACGGGTATTTGTTGGCTAGGGCTTGGTTTGGTTAGCTGGGGAAGGTATTTGTTGACCAGGGCATGGTTTAGTTAACTAGGGTGGGTATTTGTTGCCTAGGGCGTGGTTTGGTTTGCTAGGGTAGGTATTTGTTGGTTAGGGCTTGGTTTGGTTAGCTGGAGCAGGTATTTGTTGACTAGGGTGGGTATGTGTTGACTAGAGCGTGGTGTGGTTAGCTGGAGCGGGTATTTGTTCACGAGGGTGGGTATGTGTTGACTAGAGCGTGGTGTGGTTAGCTAGAGCGGGTATTTGTTGACGAGGGTGGGTATGTGTTGACTAGAGCGTGGTGTGGTTAGCTAGAGCGGGTATTTGTTGACTAGGGTGGGTATGTGTTGACTAGAGCGTGGTGTGGTTAGCTAGAGCGGGTATTTGTTGACGAGGGTGGGTATGTGTTGACTAGGGCGTGGTTTGGTTACCTAGAGCGGGTATTTGTTGACGAGGGTGGGTATGTGTTGACTAGAGCGTGGTTTGATTACCTAGAGGTGAGGTGAGGTGAAATGGGGTTAACGTCGCGTCCAAGATTATTGCACTTATATAGCGACGTGCATGTACGTGTGTGTGTTTGTGTGGCTGCTTGTACTAGTCCGGACTGATGCCGATTTATAGTGCTAGCACACTGAGATACCATGCCGCAGTTTAACATGAATACCCCACTCAGACACAGTATACTGACTCCGAGCCGACCAGTCCTTGTTTTAGCCCCTTTATGCCGAGCGCAAGACAGGGTAACAACAAGTACCATCTTTTAACGTCTTTTGGTATGACGCGGTCGGGGATCGAACCCCGGACCTTCCACTCTCCGGGCGGACGCTCTACCACTAGACCACCGAGGCGGTCTTGATTACCTAGAGCAGGTATTTGTTGGCGAGGGTGGGTATGTGTTGACTAGAGCGTGGTTTGGTTACCTAGAGCGGGTATTTGTTGACTAGGGTGGGTATGTGTTGACTAGAGCGTGGTTTGGTTAGCTAGAGCGGGTATTTGTTGACGAGGGTGGGTTTGTGTTGACTAGGGCATGGTTTGGTTACCTAGAGCGGGTATTTGTTGACGAGGGTGGGTTTGTGTTGACTAGGGCGTGGTTTGGTTACCTAGAGCGGGTATTTGTTGACTAGGGTGGGTATGTGTTGACTTGAGCGTGGTTTGGTTACCTAGAGCGGGTATTTGTTGACTAGGGTGGGTATGTGTTGACTAGAGCGTGGTTTGGTTACCTAGAGCGGGTATTTGTTGACTAGGGTGGGTATGTGTTGACTAGAGCGTGGTTTGGTTAGCTAGAGCGGGTATTTGTTGACGAGGGTGGGTTTGTGTTGACTAGGGCATGGTTTGGTTACCTAGAGCGGGTATTTGTTGACGAGGGTGGGCTTGTGTTGACTAGGGCGTGGTTTGGTTACCTAGAGCGGGTATTTGTTGACTAGGGTGGGTTTGTGTTGACTAGGGCGTGGTTTGGTTAGATAGGGTAGGTAGTCGTTGACCAGGGCGTGGTTTGGGTGAACAAGAGAAGGTACTCTTGATGAATAGAGCGTGTCTCGGTTAGCTGGGGTGAGTATTTGATAACTAGGCAGTGGTTTGGTTAGTCAGAACAAAAGTTAGAAGAAATGTCTAACCGACTAACTAACAATACACGAAATAGAGGTTATGGGTGCGGTTGTTTTCTACACTTCAACATTCTTACAACAAATCAGAATTTATGAGTATCATATTCATGGTATTTTGCGTTTGCATGATTGCGTTTACTCATTTTATCTTGGCCAAGAATAAATTAATTAATCAATATAGAAATCTGATTATGGGTTAACAGTGTTCAATGCCGTCCATGAAGTACGTACCCTTGTTGCTGAGGAGGGGGCACGGGTGGCCCGGTCGTCTAAGGCGCCGCGATTCGCTGTGCAGAGTTGCGTCCCTTGGACACGCCAGATACCTATGATTGTGGGTTCGAATCCTGGTTCGCCCCGATTATGTTTCTAGGTTTGTCAGCACCATACCTGTGCTCGTGGATTTCACCGAAGTGGTAAACGTCTGAGACCTGCATCACTTCGGGCTTTCCTCCCACATTAAGCTGACACGCCGCGATATAACTGGAATACTGTTAAAAGCGGCGTAAAACCCACCTCACTCGCTGTTCCTGAGGAATGTTTAAAACAAATTCAATATACATCGGCAGAACCTTAACATACGTGTTCAGTGTGATATTTATCAAAGATCATCTATTGTGGATAGTTGATGTAATACGTACGCAATTTCAAGAACACATTTCAAAATATCGGGTAAAAGTATCAATATTGATAACGGCAACGTCTACAGCTTGCGTCATATGTCAATAAAACACGTGGAAGCGTTTATTTTTAGTATCTTAGTCGCAAAGCTGGCTTGCAGTCAGCAAGGAAAACAAGCGTCATTTCTATAATAAACAAAATTACTATATCTAACGCACAAAAATAGACAAATCTCCAATTGCATCGCCGATAAGAAATCGTTATGAATCCGATGTTATTGACAACTGTCAGTTGCTTCCTCGATATACGCGTACAGGAACGGGGGGCGCAGGGAATCTATGTGCTACTCAGTCGTCTTATAGCGAGGGGAATTGACATCATCTCAGAAAAATCGATACTCGCATGCCAGTAAGGGCGTAGATATCTTCTCACGTTGCTAGGTGAGGTTTTGGCCGAGATTTCCGTGGTAACGACACAATGCGATCCATGTTTCTCGAACAACTGGTGATTATCAGCTAATGGTTTTAGCCAGAAAGGATTCCTAAATATTTAGAGAGCAAACATTTATATGTATTTGTAAAATTAGTAATCAAAGCGTTTTGAATCAAATCGACTTTTCATAAAGAAGATGAAAATAAAAACATGTTTATCGCCTATGCATTGAAATGACAATTATTATGACATAATATTGATTATTACATTTTAGGGGATGTTTATGTATGTTTTATTTGTAGAGGTTTGGAATATCTAAAGTATCGTTTTCCCAATACGCGTATTGTTGACCTTACCCCATCACTATTTTCAGATAATGTCAAAATCTTGTTTTTTTTTGTAAATCACGGATAATAACTATAAAAATACGGTATTCCTATCTGATAATTATGACAAACTGTCAGCGTCAATATGGGGATTTTAGCGTGAACTGCTCATAGCGCTCTTCCAGCATCTGCCCATTACTGACAACCGCCACCACTATTTACCGTTATGACGGCAGCAGCCACTGTATCAAGAACTGGCGTTACAACGAGGCATCTAGGGAAGTAAACATTAGCGTCAGCATCCACCTACACATAGCTTTCCTCCCTACGTGCCTCGCTCTGGCACCGCGGCATCGAGGCTACAGGATAATTTTCATAAAACTTGATAATAAGGTATCTGCCTATCGCTTAACGGTGCGTCAGCATAGGGAGGGCGATTGATCAGCGCTTTGTCGTAATGGCGGACAGAGGTATTTTGGTTTGAGAAATAGGGATGGTTTGAGCTGGAACCTGGGACACGGGAGCGTGAGGAGAGGTACAGAGAGAAGAGATCCCCCGGAGAAGACAGAGCTAAACAGGGCCGCCTCAATGCTACTCAGGACCCAAATGGCGGGTCTGGAATTCTATGATGCGGTGCTTAATAATGAGCTTCAACAACTGAAGCGTTTGGCTACTCAGTACAAAATCGATCTAAGCGCCAAGTTCGTGGAGGTAAGGAAAAAGAATCACTCTGATTTATGCCCAATACATTTGGCTGCGTACAGGGGCTACACTTACATGTTACAATATCTCATAGAGTCTAAATGCGACGTGAACCAGACGACGACGACATTGCGACGGACAGCGCTCCATTTCTCAGTACTACAACACAAGATGGCGTGCATGCTACTTTTAATCTCAGCTGGAGCCAAAATTGATGCCAAGGACACGTTTGGAAACTCGCCGTGTCATTACGCTGCCGACGACGGGTACTGCCAAATCCTCGACGTGCTCCTACGTCGTAGTGTCGACGTAAATAGTCAGGACATCACCTCCAAAACACCCCTGATGAAGGCGGTAAGAAATAATAAGACCGACGCAGTGTTAAGACTGTTGCGTGCAAGCGCCGACCTCAACCTTACGGACCGGAACTCGGACATGGCTCTTCACTATGCGGCAAGAAACGGGTGTGTTGACATTATTGACCTGTTGGTGGCTGGGGGTAGTCTCATCGATGTCCAGAACTATTGGGGGCGGACGCCTCTCATGGAAGCCGTCTGTTACAACCACAAAGACGCCATATCTCGCCTAATCATCGCAAACTGTGATTTGAACCGACGGGAATTCAAAACAGGCGACACCGCTCTCCACATAGCCATCAAGAGGAACTACACCGCCGTGGTGGAGCTGTTGCTGGCGGCAGGAAGTCGGCACGACATCTTCAACCACCAAGGAGAGACAGCCGCGTATGAAGCTGTTGTGAGTAACAAGCTGGAGGTAATCCGTCTAATGCTTATGTACAACTGTGACCTTGACGTACCCGCCAAATACTTTTCCAATGGTGTGTATAAGTCCATATTTCACTTAGCAGCAGAGAAAAGCCAGTTAGAAATATGTCGTCTGCTCGCCTCCCTGGGCCACGTAGATTACGGAGCACGGGTTCACTTTTACACAAGCTACGTTCCCTCCAGACTGTGTGAACAGGATGAGGTTCTGCACGTGCTGCGCGCGCAGATGGGCTCAGTGGTGTCTTTGCAGCAGTTGTGCAGGAAATCAATTCGGAAATGTTCAGGAAGAAACATCGCAGAAAAGGTGGATTCTTTGCCCATGCCAAGAGCACTCAAGGACTATGTGATGATGAAAGAAGTACGAGAAAGGTCAGAGCACGGAGCAAGCTTCTGTTGAGAAAGGCAAGACTTGAATCCGGTACCGTGACCTGTCGTCGCCCGCTGCACGAGACGCCTGACCTTGACCATGGACTGTCAACTTCCGGTCCAAGTAGAGTGTGATATTGCCCACTGGTTATAGTGTGAATGTGGTCAGTATCTGTGCAGGTCAAGGTGACATGACATGGCATATAGTTCAAGGTCAGACCCATTGCAAGAGTGTTCATTATAATATTCACATTTATTGAAAACGGGTACCATTTGCCATACTGATTTAAATAGATAGTTTTACCACTTGGATGATCTCAGGCAGCCTTGGTTGTAAGGGTGAAGGTCAAGGTCATTTCACCATGAGTTGCACAGGTTGTGGGTATCCCTTCTGTTGTCGTTTAGTGATCTGAGGTGAAATGCCGAATTAACGTTGGAAGAGTTTTTTAGTCACCCCGTATTTTTGTGTGTAGCTCTAATAGAAGGGGGTATGAGAACCCAGTCATGTTGAATTCAGTTCTTGCATACGTTTTGCATAAGGGTTTGGGCGAAAAGTGGTAATATTGCCTGAGATCTTTGAAAACATGTTGTGAAGGTGAATATGAGATATTGTGTGGATAATATTGCCACTGATGGTAATATTAGTTGTATATAACATGGATGACAAGGGGTGAAATGTATGAGAGTTGAGGTATGGAAACCGTTGCCCTTGGGTAATATTGCCTGGATAGTTGATGTACAGCGTGAAGATAGTGGGGTATACGTGATGGTGCACATGAATATTACTGCCGAAGGTAATATGCCAATTATGTTCAATAATAGTATTGATTGATATGTTGGAGATGATATGAGTGATATGTTGATGGCAAGGATAAGTTTGAGGCGATATAGATGATATGTAAATAGCAAAGGTATGAAGACGATGGAATGAGTATGTTGGAGCTGATATGGTTCATATGTTGTCTACATGGATGATATGTCAATTGATGATGGTATGGGATATATGATAGAGGTGATATAGATGATATGCTTGTGATGATATGATTGATGCTATTCATGCCAGCTGATTAAACATTTTTAAATATCCCGAGGGAGGAGACTGAGGGAATGTCATTTTGAGTGTTGGAACTTTCATATTAACGAGATGTTTTATGGTTAGAATGGCACATGTAAATGTAATAGTAGATGTTATGTGTGGACGGCATGGTTAATGTTGCTCTTATATGCATCAAAGAGGAATTTCAGGTACATAGGAACCCGTTAATCTGGACGGTTTAGTCCAGGTAAAATCCCCCGGATTAAGTCATGACCCTATAAACGTATCACAGGTATGGATCGATATACCCCTTCTGTGTGTATATATATAGAGAGAGAGAGAGAGGATGGGAGAGACAGGGAGAAAGGGGAGAGAGAGAGTGGTAGGGTGTTTCGGACTAACAGGGTTTCACTGTAACCACATTAGTTAGAGACCGACCCTGATAATCCGGTTACTCGCTTTCCGAACACCCTACACCTACAATGCTACATGATTCGTTAATCCGGACAAAACATAAGGTATATACCGTCCGGATTAACAAGGTTTCACTGCAACCACTGACAGCGTGAGTTTCTGTTACTTAAACGTATATATATTATGAAATATGAAGGAACTATTTCCTATATGTACGGACATGAAGAGATGTGGATGTGGTATATGTGTAATGTGCCAGAGAATTGTCCAGTGGATCTACTTTTTGTGAGAAGGTGATTGTGTAACTGATTACTGGACTGATAATAACTGAATGTTGTTCAGATCGTAATATCAACAGGGCAAGATGATATTACGTTTATATTTAACAGGCTCGTATGTGGGTAATACATTATAGGTAGATATGTTGATATTGTCAGGCATATTTATATGAGTGTTGGTGTAACCCTACACTCCTCACTATAACGCCAACGCTGAGTGGAGAATTTGTCCCGGAGGTGTCTATTTTAAGTGAACTGGACATACATTTGAGCCATGAACGCACGAACTTGCTAAATGGTCGTTATGGTTCTAACATTAACTGGAATTCAGGAATTGAAAAAAATGGTATTATCTTGGTTGGTTGGTTTGTTGTTTTACGCCGCACTCAGCAATATTCTGGCTATATGACGGCGGTCTGTAAATAATCGAGTCTGGACCAGACAATCCAGTGATTGATATCATGAACATCGATCCACGCAATGGGGAACGATGACATGGTCAACCAAATCAGCGCGCCTGACCACCCGATCCCGTTCGTCGCCTCTTACGACATCAGTCTTAATGAAAAGGACGGGGGAAAATCAACTACTTATATCTAGCTAATGGTGAGGTTCCAAGATTGATCGAAAGTATTTCTTGTTAGCACAGCTATTTTTCTGGTGAGTGCTCGGACATTTGAAAAAATAATGTTTTCAAAAAGATGTTTTTTTCGATTCACTGATTATTTACCTTGAACTCCTTTCCTCCCAAACTACATCATAACCTTGCCTATCCGAACTAAACGTGTGGAATATAGAATCGTTTATGAGTTTGAAAGACAGGAATGCAGTATAAACAGTGTCCGTATACAAAGGGTTTATCCGTAAGCTATGATCCCCTTCAATATAGTCGTTGTAGTAGGCTAAGTGTGTTCTGCGGAAAAGGAGAAAGCGATTAGACCATGTCCGTATTAAGGAGGTTGTGTTGAACTCAAGTCTTAATTGAAGAATTAATAGGCAGGATTTTGTTTTACAAACTACTTTTTCTTACGAATGTAGCGTTAAAAATAGAAGAGGTGAAACGTGAGTACAACAGCTAGATATTGATTAATTCAGATTGATTCAATGTAACGCTTACATCGGGATACCTACTGTTTCAATGTAACGCTTAGATTGGTATAACGACTGTTTCAATGCAACGGTGACATCTGATACATAGATGGAGTTAATGTAACGCTTACATTGGTATGCAGATTTATTCAATGTAACGCGTACATTGATATACAGGTTGATTCAATGTAACGTTTAACTGGAGTACAGATTGTTTCAATGTAACGCATACATTGGTATACAAATCGATTCAATGTAACGTGTACATTGGTATACAGATTGATTCGCTGGACATCACGCGTTCATTAGTGTAAAGATTGTTTCAATGTAACGCTCACTTTAGTATACAAATCGATTCAATGTAACGCGTACATTGGTATACAGATTTGATCAATGTAACGCGTACATTGGTATACAGATTCAGATGTATAGCAGACACGTCATCGTGGCCACTATAACGCCACGCTGTACAAAACGACTAGTCTTATTCTAGCAATATTTGCATAATTTGGTTTAGTGATCTATAATTACATGCATGAACAGCATTTAACATGCAAAGCAAGTATGTTCATAGTGTGTAGTTTACAATGAAACACAATGTAAATATAGGCATCAACAGGCCATGTTATCCGCTCAGCTGTGGCGTTATAGTGAGGGCTGTCGATGTATCAAATAACACACCCTGAACCGTAACATCAAATAAGTGTATGTTACAGAGAAATCCGGGTACAAACTCCATGGAACCCCGAAAATCAGTTCGCTATATCCAAACAAAAAACATTACCATTCCTTAGCCTTTTGAATTTGTTAAGCTAAGTCGATTCTCTGTTATGCATGACTTCGTGACATCCGGGGTTGACTAATACATATTCATATAGTTAATCAGCGGAAGTATATAGCGTATTCTATACACATATTTTAACGTTGATGTATATGATAGTCGTATAGATATATCAAATGTCGCACGATGATCATAAAGCCAGATTGTTTTTTTAAATGGTCTAAAAATTCAGATTGGCAGGTCGAAATCTTTTTTAAATTAAAAAAATAAATAATCCAATTTCAAATATATCTATTATTCCTTCAAAATGATAGGTAGGTATGGAAAAGAGTGAAGGGAGGAATGGGTTAAGAAATAACAACAATCGTCTCGGCTTGATAGGCTGTTTAATACAATAAAGACATTTTTAACATTTAACTTATTTCTCTTCGGCGGAATATAAAAACACCGCTTTTCATCAATTTTTGTTATCACATTAAATTTTGTTTGAGTCGGAGGATTCGTAACCCAAGTTTAAAAAAAGTCTGGCCTATCGTAGGACTGATCTATGGTACACAGATGGGAAATGAAGGGAATACGCCAGTAACTATAAATCCTTGGGGCCATACATTCGAGTAATCCGTTCTTCGAGAACAACGGAATTCCGATATAAGACCATGTAAAGTTATACGGGGACCATGACGTTACCTCGTTTTAGACGATGGTTCGAGATAAAGGATTTCGAGTTAACAATATTTTATTGGTAGTTTGTAGAAAGGAACGATAATGTTCGTTCTATTATGTTCACGCAGCATTCCAATAATTTGCAAGAACAATTTATCTTGTCTTTTTAGCATTTGAAAAAGAGGGCGATACTAAGAAAGAAACTGGTTCATATGTGGTTCAGGATATTTCTGATAAAAATATGCTGTTTTGCAGAATCATGTAATGTTAAAGTTTTATTACATAGATTTCAATTGCATTCCTAACGGTTGAAGTGACATGTTTGAATTAGGATAGTGTGGTATTTTTAGTTGACAATCACATCTGCAACTGACCGATATATACTCTTCTGTGATTGAAAAATACATTGTTACTTTATTAAATCATTGTGGACTATAATTATTGTTAAATTGTTTGAATATCAAGTTGTGCTGAATTACATGTAAGACTGTTAAATTATACCACCCTTCTCTAGGCAGAGTTGCGTCCCTTAGGTCGTGCCAGAAACCTTTGATTGGGGTTCGGATCTCGGTTCGCCGTTATTGTTTCTAGGTTTGTCAGTGCTCGTTGGTTGTACTAAAGTGGTAGACCTGCAACGGTTAGGACTCTCTATCCATATTTATCTGACACTCCCTGAAATAGCGTTGTTAAAAAAGTGTTGTTATACATCAGCAATGAATCAAAACACCAGTGGGGTACCTCAGGGCAATTGTGGGCGGTCGGGTAGCCTTGTGGTCAAAGCGTTCGCTCGTCACGCCGAAGGTCCGAGATCGATTACCCACAAGGGTACAATGTGTGAAGCCCATTTCTGGTATCCCCCGCCCTGATATTGCTGCATTATTGCTAAAAGCGGCGTAAAACCATACTCACTCACTCATGGCCATTATAGAAACTCTTGTTCATCTCTTTTCAGTTGTGATTAATACCTCAGACTCATTCGCAATAGCCATCGCCCAAATCGCCCATATCTCCAACGGAATTTCCCTCGCTCGTGTCAGTAATTTGATTGGCTATTTTTTGGCGCGCAATTCGAATCACGCTCAAAACGAATTTACGGCAGCGAATGGGTCCAGGGTATTTATTAAAATAAAAAGGTGGTATAATACCCTGCATTATCGAGGATGCCTCGAGGCACGTTCAATCGATTTTATTCTCGACCCCGATTCCTCGGAGCAAGAGTGTACCAAGTTCTGGGCGTCGTTGAAGGGGCAACGAGTAGTTTTGAGACCGAATTTGGTTTGCAAAGATAAGGCTTGAAAACTTTCACAGCAATACTTGGATTGAAATCAGCAGAAGCGTTTCCCATCTTACCAATGTTGCTTCCGTAACAAAGTCCGGATAAAATGGCAGTCTACATTTTGGATTCCTGATTAAAAATCGTTTTTCCTCTACCTACTCACGTACCATGTATTCCATACAATGTAATATATTAGTCGGTTTACAAAACAATGGCCTTAAATTCAGTGAAGGTGGTCGAAAAATATCTTCTTCTTTTTCCAAGTTCCAGCGTAGTACTCTACGTCTTATTCAACATTTTTTTACTATCAGCGGTGATACAATCTCATCGGTCTTTTTCATTTCCCCTAATTGTCTAATTGTCACTTAAAGTCTTTTTTCGAATTTCAGGTCTTTTATGTCGATCGGTCTCGTAAACCAGCTAAACAAATATATGGCCTTGGCGTATATATTTACCCTATTTATGCAGAAACCAGGTCTCAATATTCAACATGGCACTGATTACAAAATCCAACACTAGCCTTAGGGCACCAGACCGGGGGCACATAGTTCCCCCTTAAATTACTCTTATAATACATACTACCCAGCATATGATAAGGGCACGGCTTGCGTGAGCTTGGTTAACGCCGCTTTGAACAGTATTTCAGTTCTGTGTTACATGTTTGGTGCTGACAGACTTAGGATATTAATTAGGGGAATCTGAGATCCAAACCAGAAGATCCGGACACCACTAAGGGACGCAACTCTGCACAGCGATTGTTGTGGCCCCAAGATAAATGGAGATATTTCCGAGTATTTACATTTTGGTGTATGTGGAACAATATGAACACCCCAATCAATAGTTGAGTAGTACACAAGATATCAAACTTCTGTCCTATAGATATATATTTTTGATCTATGATGATGAATTTTGAGGTTAACCTTTTTAAGCCGCTGCTTTGTTATCGTTTCATATGATTATTTCTCAATGTTTATTGTGTCTGCGGCGACAGGATGGATCTGTGATATTATATAGTGTGGTTACTTCAGTAAAAATCGTTGTTAGTTTATTTGTTGAATGTATTATGTGGGAGACGATATGGAGCTTATAAGAAAGAAATCATAATATATAAGCTCGAAATTACCGTATTTCCTCTATTAAGAACAGGTCTCTATTAAGGGCCAGGTCAAGGCGTAAGGTTTCTCAAAAAGGGAGCGGGACCTCTTATAAGGGTCAGGTATTGGGGTAAAGTTTTGAAAGAAGTACAGGGTCGGTTGCTACAGCTAATGATTATCCCCCATTGCATTGAAAACCATACCGTTTTAAATACTTAGCCGTCCTTCTTTTCGCTTCCAAAAGGTTTTTTTCTGAAAGGGGAATCTGGACACTTATTTGCCGGATCCAACATAGAAATGAAGTGAGGACCCGCGCTCTTAATCGAGGAAATACGGCAACTATGATTTTCTTCTGTACATTACACACGCATAGGAAACGAAACCAAAGTTGATGAAAACCCGAATGTTTGCAGTGGTGAGATTCATACGAAGCGTATGCCCATCGGGGAACAGTGACCGTACTCTGCTTTAAATTGAGATTTCTGGAACCAAAAGAATCAGACCAGCAAATCCTCGATCAGAGGATTTGCTGGAAAAGGTATGACCCTTTACAAGCTTATTCAAATGATTATGTGTGAATGCAAATCCGGGGATTTATTTTCAGAACCTGGTTGAATGTACGTGAGTCTTTCTGTATGTGCACTCAGGGTGATCTAGAGAAAAACGAGTCGTTGTCATGAGAAAATATCTTTATGATTTAGTTGTTTTAAAATAAATCGATTTAACATTATGGTGTTTTCTTTGTCTGTGTAATTTTGTTGTTTGTTTGTTTGTTTGTTGTTTAACGCCGCACTCAGCAATATTCCAGCCATGTGACAGCGGCCTGTAAATTACCAAGTCTGGATCAGAAAACCAGTCATCGATATCATGAGCAGGGTCCCAGTCCGTCGGGGTACAATGTCAAGCAATGAACTAAGTCACCGACCTTGACAACATGATTCATTTAATCGCATCGGACAGAACAGGTTGCTGAGGCCTGTTCGAACCCGGATTCCCCATGGCAACAAGTAATGTGTAGCACAACTGTCGAAAGAATCACTCTTCAAGAATTCTGCATTCCGGACAGTGAGAGAATGTTGTGTAACGCCGCAATCAGAAATATTACCACGGCCTGTAAGTAATCAAGTTTGGACAAGGGGAACCAGTGATTGAAAGCATTAGCATAACACGCAATCAACCCACTCTGAACACGATCGGCCATTATCGGCTGAAAATATACTTTTTGCGGTAACCGAAAGGGATGAGGTTTGCCGACTTGCAATCAACCAAATGACACTCGGGTCGTCTGTGAAAACAGCACCTCGGCCATCACTGGCAGGGATCCATAGTGGAACTCGTTCCTGCACGTGACTATCACATGACACGTGACAACATGGCGCCTGACTTGATTGGTTGGTTTGTTAATGTAAATAATCGAGTCTGGACCAGACAATCCAGTGATTAATATCTTGAGCATCGATCCACGCAATTGGGATCGATGACATGCATCAACCAAGTCAGCGAGTCTGAAGACCCGATCCCGTTAGTCGCCTCTTACGACAAGCATAGTCGCCTTTTACGGCAAGAATGGGTTGCTGAAGACCTATTCTACCCCGGATCTTCACGTGTCTCGTCTGTCTTGAATAGGTGACTGTTCCAAATGTATCCGTTTGCTTTGTTTTCAAACTGAACTTAATACCTATTTTTGTCTTTAGCAGTTTTCAAAAACAGTTGTCATACTTTATGAACTACATGCGGTGGGATCTGGCGTGAGGCGGTTTACAGTGAAACAGGCAATATTGCTACTCCAAGGTGCATCGCAGAGAGCGGAATATTCCCAGTTGATTGGTTGCACTAGAGGGACCGACACCAGGTGTCAGGTTACTGGCAAATTTAAAACCAGGGAGGCTATGCAAAGGTATAAAATAAATTTACAGTCTCCCTGTTGAAACAGACTGGCTATACCTATAACACGCGTTGAGTCTGAATATTGCTTCCAGCTGTTTCACCAGTGTATTGTAACAGGCCTATAAAACTACCAGATTGCAATGAGTTTTGATGTATGACGCTGCTAATATATCACTCCTATAATATCCCCACTGGTGTCTGTCGATTAAACGCAGGGTATCGATTAAAGGATGGGTAGTTTATATGCAAGGAATTCTCCCAGTTATTATCTTTCCTATTAAACGCCCAATAATACGTGTCTTAAAGAAATGTAGGCAAAGGTGTTTAATCAGGGAAATACGATATCCTGGGTGTTTGGGTCATGTCACTATACAGAAGAATTGATAATTTGTATAAACGCCTGTTGTTATATACTGCATTCAGCAAAATTGATATGAACAAGATCCAACACTGTTTATAAGACAACCATCACCCCTTATTAGCTTGACCACAGGAACCAATTTAGTCACCTCTTACCACAAGCGGTCCAGTACAGTCCAGTAATTGATATCATGAGCATGAGCCATGCAATTGGGATCGATGACATGCATAAACCAAGTCAGCAAGCCTGACCACCCGATCCCGTAAGTCGCCTCTTTCGACAAGTAAAGTCGCCTTTTACGGCAAGCATGGGTTGCTGAAGACCTAATCTACCCCGGATCTTCAGCGCCCGGTCCAGTACTGAGGACAGACTAGTCCCATATAGGATTTGATTTATTGTTTGTTGTTGAACACGTCACTATGAAATATTCCATCTATATGACAACAGCATGAAAGTAATCGTTTCTGAGCAAAACCAGTGATTGATAAAATGAGCAACCATCAATGCTGTCAAGATATGTTGACATGCTATGACCAGCAGATGTTGCTTGGGACCAGCGTTAACTAGGCACACCTGGTCACTACATACTTATGCAGTCAAACTATGCAGGCAGATATAATATACCTTCTAACAGTCAAATAGTCTTTCCTTGTGTTCAGATGACATAGCCAGAGAACATCTGGGTTAGAATTGTTATTCAGCAACCCATGCTTGTCTGAGAGGCGATGATGGTTGTCGAAGAGGCGACTAACAGCATTGGGTGGTCAGACTTGCTGACTTAGTTGATGCATGTCATTGTATCCCATTCAATATTGATGCTCTTGATGTCAATCACAGAACTGTCTGGTCCATTTCCATACTTTCCTCATATAGCTGGAATATTGATGAGAGCAGTGTCAAACAACAAACAATCGGTTGACATTCGTGGTACACACCTCACGTCCAGTACTCAACACCTAAATAGAACTACAGTATTTAGATCCCAACAATGGTGAAGATGGAGAGGCTGACCTACACAGCTACACAACCTGCCTGGGTACCCAGAGCAAGATGCCAGTTCCCTGATCAATTATCAATATGTGTAAAACCACATTACTTTAAATAAGCTAGGTGTAATATTGTTTTTTAGAGTATTTATAAAAGTGGTGTCTGTTTGATTTGGGAGGAAACACCAAATAGATCTCTATCAAATAGTATATGACTCTGGTCAAAACCATGAGTACATTCTGATCCCAGTCAGGGATTCCACCCAATGGCAGATCCTGCACATCAAAGGACACATCTAGTACATGAATCTCTGCCCAGTGAACTTAGGAACCTTAAACAACAAGGCCACGATGAGGGAATGTGTGAGGTGAAATAGGGTTTAATGTCGCGTCCAAGATTATTGCATTTATATAGCGACATACATGCACGTGCGTGCGTGCGTGCGTGCGTGTCCAGACTGATGCCGATTTATAGTGCTAGCCCACTGAGATACCATGCCGCAATTTAACATGAATACCCCACTCAGACAGTATACTGACTCCGAGCCGACTAGTCCTTGTTTTAGGCCCTTAATGCCAAGCGTAACAAGGGTAACAACAAGTACCATCTTTTAACATCTTTTGGTATGACGCGGCCGGGGATTGAACCCTGGACCTTCTAATCTCCGGATAGACCACAGAGGCGGTCATGAGGAAATGGGAATGTATAGAACATATTAAGATAGCCTTATAGTACCCGTAACTTGGTAAAAGAGTAAGTGATTGAGCTGGGTTTAACACCACATGAACAGTATTAGTTATACCACAGTCATCTTAATGTCATGTTTCTGAGCCAAGGGCATTAACTGACTATAAAAGTTCAGTTTCCATCCTGGCCAAAGCTGGAATTTCCAGGCTCGATCGTAGAGCCACCAGTGACTATTACGAGTTATGTCCCTTCAACTGACCAATCAGATTCCATCTCTCATGTCACTTGCATCCACTGCAAACAGGCAGCACCCAGTCAAGATGATCTGATTGATAATCAAGATCTAAATTGTAATAAAACAGCTCTTACCCCACAAAGTGCATTAAATCACTTGGGCACCTGGATTAAAAACATGAAAAGATTTGCAAAATATTTGTCGACTCTCAGTTGAAAGCACACATGCTTTGCAAATCCTGCAGTCGACCGATATCTGTACGTTGATATCCATGTGATTTACGAACGGGATGTTGAGTTCATTACGAGATTATGATTGGACTATGCATAGACTCGTTAGTCCAGCCGAAATGTAACTCCGGAATTCTAGCCTAGTTCGGCAAGGGTGGAAACTGGACTTTTGTAGTCAGTTAACACCCTTGGATTGGGAAGATGTCATCAAATCTTAGATGTTTAGTGGAATCCATGAGCTGACAAGCCTAGAGTGAGTGAGTGAGTGAGTATGGTTTTATGCCGCTTTTAGCAATATTCCAGCAATATCACAGCGGGGGACACCAGAAATGGACAAGCCTAGAAACACAATCATTGTGAATATGGATTTGAAACCCGATCACAAGTTTCTGGCACACGTAAGGGATGCTTCGCTGCACAGCAAACTGATTTTGCCTTCAAATGCCCCCTCATAATCATGACATGAACAGTTGAAAGATAAATTGGCCTTTAAGTCTACCTCTTTACCTGTGACCTTAGAATGGCAACAGTGGACGAAGGGCTTGCACCAATTTTGTATGGAGACTAGATGTTTTCAGCTACAGCTGCAGCACCAGATAATATTTTAATTAACACTATGACCCAAAATATTTTTTCTAAAACTGCATTATTTTGTTCAAGCATTTTTGGGGACAATATAATTTATTTTTTAAAATCCCACCCTCTATGACTCCTTAGTGATAAACACAAGCCAACATTTACAAAACATGTCATTTATTCGGATGATAACAAGTTCAATATGAATGAATGCACATATAAATACTCAAGTGTTTCTTTTGCGATGTGTACTTGTCTTTTTCCATTGTACATCAGAACAAATATTACTCATCACGGATGCCAGAAATCCTTTCAAAATAATAACTGAAACAATAGTGTTTAAATTGACAGTGTTTTGATATTTTGGGCAACGAAATATTGCAAAATATTCAAACAAAATTGTCACTTTTGAAAGGATGAATAGCGCTGTTGGCCATTCTGGAGAGGGAATACTCGTCAACTTGATCAAGTCTTTGTGAAGATGAGCTTAGGTAAGTTTCTTTGCTTTGTTGTACAGAGCATCAACAACCTTCCCCATGCTCTGGATTGTTTCAAGAGAGCTTTCGTATGTCTTGTCGACCGGGGTTTCATCAAACACAATCAGCACTCCAGCTCCCTGGTCCAGAATACCTAGAAATGCAAAGAATTGCTAATTACAGGTTTTGTTTGCACTCTTTCAGCAATATTCTTGCTAAATGACAGCAGGCTGAAGAGATAGTCGAGTCTGGGTCAGACAATCCAGTGATTGATATGATGATCCATCCCATAGATGACACACTATCAACTAAGTCACTGCCCCTGACCGCTCAATCCATAGTTGCCTCTTACGACCAGCATAGGTTGCTGGTGACCGATTCTAACCCAGAATGCCAACAGGGATATTTCAAAATAAGATGCTGATGTTTAATAAAGCTTTAAACATTCAAGCTATTTCTCTGTTGCCTGTTGGCAGACAAACCAGCTGTCTGTTTGTTTGTTGTTTAACGCCACACTCAGCAATATTCCAGCATAGGATGGTGGTCTGTAAATAATCGAGTCTGGACCAGACAATCCAGTGATTGATATCACAAACATCGACTACCATGACATTCATCAACCAAGTCAGCAAGCCAGACCACCTGATCCTTTTAGCCGCCTTTTACGACAAGCATGGGTTGACAAATTCTAACCTGGCTCTTCACAGAGACAATACAAGTAATGTTCAATGCTGAGTCTGATCACCCAGTCAATTTAGTCGCCTTGCAAAACCCAAGGTTGCTGGGGACCTTTAGTAACACAGAATCACCACTGGGGACAACATAAAACAGCTTTAATCCTATTTTCTACTCACCATGGAACTTCCTGTCTAAAATCATCTGGGATAATTTCTTTTCTACTACTGCCTGTAAAACAAAGTATTGGGTATATAAGTCTCAGCAATACACAGAGCTGCATGGAGAAAGCTGGTTGTCCCTCACGAACACACAGACACTATTAAAAAAGCGATGTTAGCACTAGAACTGATCTTACATTTTCCTTGACAGCCTTTGAAATTCACGTTAATTTGCTAAATTGTGCTGAGGACAAATGCAAAAATCCAGTGACCAGTATCATTTGAGGGCTATAAGTTTGCTTCAATGGAATAAAACTGACAGAAATAACTAGCCACATAAATCAAATTCCTAAGGCTGCCTTGAGCATCCAGAGAAGTACATTTCCAGTAAAGATCAATATCCCGGATCTTTTTACCACAATACCAGGGTGATCTATGCAAATAGGATACGATGACATGCATCACTGAGTCTGACCATCCGATCCTGTTAGTCATCTCTTACGACAATCATCAGTTTGTCTGATGGTATTCCAAGAGCTGGTTCTATTCAGCTTGTTTGAGGTTAAGGTGCTCCGTGAATACATACGAGGCATTTTGAAATATTGAATAGATTTTCAGCGAGGCTATAGGAATTTCCACCAGCATCTGGGGCCAATATCGACTTCTGGTAATCCGTGGTGAACATACACAAACTGTTCACACTTACCACGGGTAACTTGATAAGATTAGCTATGTGCTGGACTTGAACCCGAGAGAAAGGCTCTATGATTCTACACAGATTCTGTTCCAATAAGTTGTCATAAAGCGTCTTCAGATGAGCATTCACGATGGGGTCATCTTCCAACTGGACCTTATATGTAGCCAGAGTCTGAAACAGATTGAGACAGATTCACATCCCTGTCAGCTGCAGTGAAGACTTAAGTGAGTGCATATGGTTTTACGCCACTTTTAGCAATATTCCAGCAATATCATGGCGGGGACACCAGAAATGGGCTTCACACATTGTACCCATGTCGGGAATCGAACCCAGGTCTTCAGCATGACGAGCGAACACTTTAACCACAAGGCTACCCGACCGCACCCAGTGAAGACTTTAGGGTTAGTCAGGGTTGATACTCTGAACAGTATTGTAGTTAGCATGGTTTGGCCAAGCTGTTTTGCTAGGCCTGAGATTTTATGTGACGGTTTACTGACCTTGGCTGAGTACAGTTCTCTTCATGTCTACAAGAGTTATCTCCCCTTCACATTGATCACATACCACAATTATTATCATGCATTCTATAACTCAGGGGTGTGGAAACATCACAATCATTAACTTATCCCTACACAATTTAACAGTAAACATGGAATGTTCCCGAGACAAAGTCTGCCTGAAGAACGAGGGCAGAAAGAGACCTTTGGTGGATAATCTAGACATGTAGACTTTGCCTCAACAAAAGGGAATTTTTACTGTTTACAAGATCACAATTTTGATATTTGCCTACATCTTGTCTAGTCCTGAAGTCTTGCGAACACTGCAGTTGCAGTTTATCCTCTACCTGGTTTACTAAATACACTGAGTGTCACTGTTTACAATCAAACTATTGATTATTGGGATAAAAGGATTAATGTTTACTGATATCATTCTGAGATATGCTTTCTATTTCAAGTATTTAACAACCCTACTCGTGTTGTAGAAAGACATATATGCAGGGCTTGAAATTAACACGGGTCATGAAATTTCCTTATGTACTACCACATTCAACATTTGGTAGATGGCAATTCTGATCAGATCATTCTGCAGCAAAAAATTCATTTTTAACCATGCTAAACCCAGCGTATGCAGTCAATGACTCTGTGTTTACAGTTATAATAATGTTTTATCAAGTCAACTTAAAGAGTAAACATATCATTACTAACACATGTTCCCGAGACCCCAATATCTTGTCAAATACAGTCAATAACTTCATGCATAATTTCTATATAATCCCACATGTCAAAACATAAACCCACATGCCAAACAAAATGTGTGAAAACACTTCCTTCTGGAGTGAGTGAGTATGGTTATAGGCAGCAATATCACGGCAGGGGACACCAGAAATGGCTTCACACATTGTACCCATATAGGGAATTGAACCCAGGTCTTTGATGTGACGAGCAGGCTACCTCGCCACCCCTTACCTTCTGGAAGTCTGCCAAAGAGCGCTTATGACTAGCCTGGGCTATACTCTTCATGGCATCCACTTCTTGGCCTGTGTACTTGAGAGCTAGCTTGCCACTTACAATGGCGTGTACCTCATCAGCGCTGTAGTTAAAGGTAGGAGTCAGTTACAAACTTGTGGCAAACAATATCAATCATACTTCTGTGTCTACTATAATTGTCATCCTTAGTGTTATTATAGTCCAGAGATTTATTAATAATTAATGCCACTTTAAGCAGTGTTTCAGTTATATTGATGCTTCTTCCATACACTTATTAAAGAGTGAGTGAGTGAGTTGGGTTAATGCCGTTCCAATTATGTTACGGTGTGTCAGCTTCATTGGGGATGAAAATCTGAGATTTAACGAAGGTCTTTGACGTTTGGTGAAACTCACAAACATAGGGAAGTTGAAACCCACCAAACAATCAGGGAAAACCCACGATCATAGATCACAAATAATAAATATAAACACTGCCGAATAGCATAATGATTCCCAAGACATTAAGTTGAGAAAACAAACAAAAGTAAGGAATTGATACAATATCTGTCTCGTGTGCAACAACAGTTAACAACTTACAGATTCAGCATGATCTTGCACAGTAACATGTATTTAAGTGCTGTGATAGCTTTGGGGCTGTCCACTGAATCATAGCCTTCGAATCCTTCATAGAAATAGGAGTAGGCTGTCTTGAAGTCTCTCTCATCAGCAGCATGAAGAATACCTGGGGAAACGGGAAATAACATAACTGCAGGAAGACAAACATAATGGTAGAACATTCAGAAATATTCCAGTTTTATCACACAGTGTCAGCTTGATGTGGAAGGAAAGCCTGACGTAATGCAGGCCTTGGACATTTACCATTTTGGTGAAACCCACGACCATGGGTATGGTGCTGACAAACCTAAAAACATAATTGGGGTGAACCAGGATTCGAACCAATGATCACAGGTTTCTGGGATGCAACTCTGCACAGCAAATTGCAGCGCCTTAGATAACAAGACCACCGATGGCCCCCAAATGAAGGAAGCATCGGACGTTTAGATATCAGCTCTCTCAAACAATTCAGCTGCATTTCTTTTTATATTATGAGGAAATTTAGATCATAGCAAAAGAAAACCTCCACAGAATTCAAATATAATCCCTCAATACTACACCCTTGGTGTAGATGCCATGGCATGCAGAAACGACAGGATGAATAAAATATCAACAACCTAATACATAGTGGTTTTGTTTGTTGTTTAACACCACACTCAGCGATATTCCAGCTATATGACGACGGTCTGTAAATAATCGAGTCTTGACCAGACAATCCAGTGATTGACATAATGAGTATCAATCCACGCAATTGGGATATGATGACATGATACCATGACATTCATCAACCAAGTCAGCGAGCTTGACCACCCGATCCCATTAGTCGCCTCTTACGACAAGCATAGTCACCTTTTGCAACAAGCATGGGTTGCTGAAGACCTATTCTACCCTGGATCTTCACGGGTCTAATACATAGTCAGGATTAATAGTTTCACAATTGGAACTCCCTCATTACATTCATTACAGAGAAAGAGAATGGTCGGAATGCTTGGAAGCCATGATGCAGGCTTGATTGACTGGTGAGAATGTTCACCTGATGTCAGATCTCGACACAGGGAGGTATCAGATCAGAGTAAAAGACCTGATTTGAATGACATGGACATGGATACAAGCATGATTTGAAAACTTCCAGAATGTCTCACCAGATTGTTGGTCAAGGGCAGCCTGTAGTTTGGGTGGGCAGTAGATGCCATTGGCTGTTGTTCTTCCTGATGTCAGTGCAGCTCTGAAAGACAAGAAGTGCTATGAAGAGGCAGTCTTGTTGGTTTGTTTAACACAGTATCCATTATAATAATAATTGAGTGAGGATCAGACAATCCAATGATTGACATCATGATCTATGCAATTGTGACAGATACAACATTGTACATATTTATTTTATTCACCTTCAGTATCTGCTTTTAAGTGTTCAACTTTTATGTTTAATCATTGATTAAGATAGATTAAATGTAGTTAATGTGTCCTTCATTGTTGTAAGCCTTAACAAACCCAAGCCATGACGTGCTCAACTGATTGGCCAAGCTAACCCTCAAAGTTGAGCCTTTGTCTCACTACATGTTCTCAGTCTGTACACATTTCTTACACAGACAAGTTGACAGGTGAAATCATCTAAAACCAGGTTAGTTTAATATGTTTGTGTATATTTGTATTGTATGTTATTGCATTTAAATAATGCAGTATATTAAACCTATAATACTAAACTTAACTAAACGTGTTTAATATTATCATATTCTCAGTTACAGTCTATTTAAGCAAATGTGGTAAACAAGACTTATAAATTGTAAGCTTTGGTAATTACTAATATATCACTTTTCTGTCTCTTTATTCTTGTATGTATGAGGAAGAGTGTATGTGTTGTTTTACTATGCTATGTTTTAAATGCTTTTGTGATCAGTTCTGTATAATATACAATCTGTACTATACAGGATCCGGAGAAATATTTTAACATGTATGTAAACAGTTGTATTAGTCATTGTTATAAAAGTATATGTTTTATTCAGATATTCGGAATTATAAGTTGCGGCGCTAGTCTGGAAGACACCCCAGTCTCACCCACAGGGTAGGCACATGATAACTTGTATAGTCAGTTTCTATATTTGTGTAACACATAAGTGTGTCACACCCGTAAAGTTATGTACAGTCAAGTCTCGTTAATTCGACATTCGGCTTTATCCGACACTAATGATGGGAAACGATTAAATCAGTGCTATTTAGACCCGTTAATCCACCAGTCTCGCACTCCGACTCCGACACACCTAATTTGCAACGAATTACTCATCACTCATAAATCAGTCTTGTTAATCCGACACAGCGATCAGCGTACTCCGTGGCCATCTGCCCGCGAGTACACAGCCCGTGTTTGATGCGAGACGAATCGGCTGGTAGCTGCATATTACAACGGTTGCAGAGATAAACTTGCTTAACAATAAACAATTAACGCTTTAAATAAAGAAAACAGGATAATTCACATGCTTAGATTACCTCAATCTTATTAAAATCAGATACAAGTCCTCGCTATCGACGAGGACATGCTATTACAGGTCACGACAGAACAACCTTTCACGAAGTATGACCTACCAATGAAATGACCAACAGGAAGTCGACGTTAGCCACTTAGAAAGCAGCTTTCTTAAGCTTTGGGTACCAGTTTCAAAGTTGCAACTTCCATTCCAGACTATGCTTTTTAAAGTATTTTGAATCGGTCATACAGTCCCTAACAGTTGTTTTGTGTTAAACTTTAGAGGTTGCATGATTAGAAAACATATTCTGCCAACAATGTAACATAACAATATGAATATTTATTTCATATTTTTTTTTACGTGTTTGAATCCTTATCTATCGTTTATCCGACATAATCATATGCAACCATCGATGTCGGATTAACGGGACTTGACTGTATATGTATGTATTTTGAAAGAGTTTTTTTGTAATCGCTTTACACTTAGATTATATAATATATGAATAATTATTCTATTTGGTTCTTACATCAGTTAGCAGATCACTGTACAGTATAACAACTAATATATGAATAAGATGTGTTTGTAATGTAAAACGGTTTGTAATACTGTGATGTCGATGACTGCATTATGTATATTGTTAATATTACTTATCATTCCTTTGATATGTTTCAGGGTGTAGATACTAGATAGATAAATATATGACAAATCCATTGGCGGAATAAACGTCTCTCACCCGTAGCGTGTGTTTGCCTATCACTCATTCACTGCCCTGCTACAAATGGAGCCCCCAGTGAGGACTATAGTCGCCATGGAAGGAACGACATAAATCACCAGCAATATCCACTTTGGATGGTTTTCTTTGTGACCTTTGTGTGACCTTGGACACTGTCACATGATATTTGTGTGTTTATTGTGACTTTTCCAGTAATGGATATTGCTACTTCAGCTTGGACATTCAATTCAATTCATGGACATTCTGATCATGCGAGTCCCCATCATGTATTAATTCACTGTAATTGTATAAATAAAATGTAAGCTAAACATGTCTTCATTTACTGACTGTATGACGACAGACTTTTGCACTTTCTTTGAACATTTCACATTTTGTTACTAACATCCCCTTCCACTCCCTCTGTGTTGTCTGTAGATTTAGTATTTAGTCACTTCCTTGGTTTGTAAATACACTTTGTAAGTATTGTATTTTCAACTTGGGATTTGTCGTATGCCTAGCATTACATTCAAGTATATGTACACCTTATCCTGTGAACACTTGTGTTGCGTTTCTTTCTTTTGTATTCCATGATATTACGGGAATACTGTTGAAACGGGCCTTAAACCAAACTCACTTTCTTTTGTGAGTATGTTATTACACTTTGTCTTCACATGTGCTATGTTGGGAGGGATTGCCTTTCAGCTTAGTTAGTGTATTAGTTGTCTTTGTGTTTGCCCTAGTAGTTGGTACAGGTACTCTGCCATTTACTTGAACTCGCATTATCCACTTCACTACACACGTGTACAGTAGATATTTTCCATTTTGCGTTCCCATAGCTGTATTTCTGCACGATTGCAACATGCGTCACGTTGCTTATTTCATGCTTCGCTGTATGTGTCCTTAGTCATACTCATATAGTTACATGCCAGTGTGACCCTTTATATCGCTTGGTACTTCCTACGCACTCACCACGCGATTGGTGTTTCACTCATTTGACTTCCTGGTACCCTTTGACATTCCCTCTTTACCTCGTTGGCACATGGTCTGCTTTTTGAGCAGTTGTGTTTGTTTCTTTGTCTACTTCTGCTGCATTCCTTAACCATGGAGTTCAAGGATGAGGAGTTGGAAGGCATGGCCACACTCTTTAAGAAGTTGGGGATGCAACCGAAGGCTGACATGCCGGAGGATTTTAAAGCCTGGATCAAGGACATGTATTCTCACCAAGGCCCTCTTACCGGGGAATATGAAGAGACAACTGGACCTCCTACTCAACCACAGACACAGGATGTTAAGCCTGTAGCTGTAGTTTACCATCAGTTCCCTAAGCTGCCATTGTTTAGTGGCGATTTTCAGGGCAAGGATGTCTCATTTGACCTTTGGACTTACGAAGTGGATTGTCTCTTGAAGTCAACAATCTACACACCAGATGTCATGGATCGGGCCATCAGGCATTCCTTGAAGGGAGAGGCAGCCAGAGTAGCAATGAGGTTAGGATCCAATACAGGATTTACTGAACAAACTCTACAGTATTTATGGAACTGTTCAGCGCAGAGATGCTCTCTTGGCTCAGTTTTATAGCGCTTCCCATGGTGGAGTTGAAGATGTTGCTACTTGGGGATGCTGTTTGGAACACTTACTTTTAAAAGTCACGCATCACAACGATATTCCTTTTCAATAACAGGATGACATGTTGAGGAATATGTTGTGGAGTGGTCTTAGGCCATCATTGAAGAATGTGTCCGGCCATAAGTTTGATTCTGTCTTCTCTTTTGATGGACTCAGGATATCCCTGAGGGAGATCGAGTATGAAATGTTGCAAGGAAGAGATCTGACACCATCACCTAGGAATAGGACTGCTACTGCCAAGATGGCCTCTGAGTCTTGATACAGTGACGAAGAAAGATATTGATAGTCTGACTTCTGCTATCCAACAGTTGCAAAGTGAGGTTACAGATCTGAAGAGCAAGCAGTTTCCCTAGGGTCAGACGCCGAGGCAATCTGCCATTTACCTCTCAGGAAGTGATTGCACAACCCTAAGGAGCTACCCCAAATGGATCCTTCTCACCCCACGGCTTGGATCAAGAACCACAAGGTATTAGAGCTACAGCAAACCCTTACTACAGAGGTACAAGAGTAAACCATAGAGGACAGAGAACTACACTTACTACATCTGGTGTTCAGATAGCTGCACAGAGGAACCCGTATCCACCACCACATGAGAAGGATTATCCTTATCCTACTAGGTCTCAGGAAGTTACATGCTTCAGATGTGGTTACCCAGGACACATTGCCATTGGATGTCGAGTTCGTCTGGACCATCTTCATCGCCCTTTAAACTGGCAAGGGTGTATGGGCAGGGGTCACCACTAGACTTACAGAACCCCAACAGAGTACCTGAAGGATTAGTTGGTCAAGCAAATGAACATAACATCATGCTTGATGGTAAGCCAGTTCGAGCTTTACTTGACACAGGAGCCACAGTGTCCATCATATCTGAGGCCTTTTATGAGAAACAGTTACAGCACATTGAACTGGAGCCACTCGGTAATATTTTGGAGATTGAGTGTGCAGGCGGCGAGACTTTAAGGGGTTTATCAAAGTGGATGTATCAATCACTGGAAGAGGTGTTGATGCTGTTCCATGTTTTTATTCCTTGTACCAAGTACCAGGTATAGTGCCCGCTTACCAGTACTTCTAGGAACTAGCATGGTTTCTACAGAAGGCCCCATTGCACACCCCATGGTATTTAACCTACAGGACTATTGTGCTTGGAAAAAAGGAACTTGGTATAGGAGCCAACTAATTCAAAAAGATATTTTGTTTCAAATTTTACACAAAACCAATAAACAAAGCCCAATGGGATCATATGGAGGCAGTTCATGAAGGGTATTACAATGTAAGCCTCATTTTGGGACAAAGCAGCGTTTAGGCTATATCAGGATTAATGGCCATCTCTGTGAGTGTGCATTGTATAAAGCCACTATTCCAGCTTGTAATATAGTTGAACAATGATCGAGCCTCCGAGGACCAACTGCTCCAATACAACTTCATACAACCAGGAAGGTTGCTGGGGACCAATTCTAACCTGGAATCCCCATGAGGACGTTTTAAATAAGGTGGTGACTTCAAACAACATATTTCAGTTTGTATGGATATTTGTTTTTATTATGCCAGTCAGCAATTTTCCAGCTGTATCTTGGTTGCCCCTAAACGAAAGTCCGGGCCAGGCAAACTAGTTTTGTTTGTTGTTTACCGCAGTATTCCAGCTATATGACGGCAGTCTGTAAATAATCGAGTCTGGACCAGACAATCCAGTGATTGGCATCATGAGCATCGATCCACACAATTGAGACACGATGACATGCATCAACCAAGTCAGCGAGCCTGACCACCCGATCCCGTTAGTCGCCTCTTACCATGCTTACGGCAAGCATGCCAGGCTAACCAGTTCACACAGTCAGGGTATGATTACAACCTTTAAACCAAGTCACAAAGTCTTTCAGTTATATCACTGTGTTAGCTGGATGCAGGAAGAAAGCTTGACATGGGAAGAAAGCCCAAAGTGATGCAGGTCTTAAGACTTTTACTACTTCAGTGAAACCCATGAACACGGGTATATGGTACTGATTAACCATGTTAACCAAGAAACAATCTGGGCAACTCTGAACAGGGAATTCTGGCATCTAAAACAATTGAGCCACCCGTGTACTCCACATCCACTGTTTCATATTCAGATGAATTTAATAATGCAGGGCTCCATTTATAAGGAACTTGATTCAGGTGCATGTTCACATGAAAAGCAAGTTGCACCACACAAAACCAGGTTGCACCCTTTATCAATGTTGCAACAGATGCATAAACTAGTATATAATACAGTATTCGATGTAATAAGCGCCGAGGGCGCTCTCAAAATTAGAAATAGGGGGCTCTTATTAGAATAAAGTTTTGGTGAAAAAAAAGAGTTGAAAGATCGCAAACTTTGTGGATTATGCGTATTATACACGACAGAATTGCCCATTATAAAATAAAGGGTGCATATAACACATGAGTGCATATTATACACGAATAACTAAGTCAGAAGGGGTGCTAATTGGGATTGTTCACTAACCAATATTTTAGCAAATATCGCCATGGGCGCTTACGGCGAATACCGTTAGTATAATCTCAGATCTCTGATGACTGTCATGAATTTGTGGTATAGTATGGTACATAAAGCTTAGGTATTGAGTGTATTCAGAAATGTCATGTAGACAAGTAAGGGCAAGTCAGGCAAAATTTGACTTTTTATTGTTACATGTACTTGGTGCATGTGGATGGATATTGTGAGCTTTTAGCACGGCGGGGGACACCAGAAACGGGCTTCACACATTGTACCCATGTTGGGATTCGAACCTTGGTCTTTGGTGTTAACCACTAGGCTACCCGACCACCCCTCATGTGGACATCAATATTAAGTTGCCTTTTTCAAGTGCATGCTTTATATAGCTAAATCGAGCTCTGTAATGTTATGTTCAATACTTAAGCTATTTTCTCTTTAATCATGAATGTCCTGTTATCAATTACAAAACAGTACCACAAATTGTAATATATTTTCTCAACATGATCAAAATATCTCAAATTTGTAAAAGATTAATTCCAACCTGATCACCTATACTGACTTGCTGCAAACCATGAACACCAACGTTCAAATATTGGCGTCTAATATTGCCTAGTCGAAGCAAAGTTTGGCTTCAGTAGCGCTGTGTACTGGCAAAAAGTTTGAATTGCAATATATTATATATCCACGTATCTGAATTGCGGTTTATATTGCGTAATATTGAGAGCTAAAGAGTGTGACACTGATTGACACATCCTTTTTTCCACATACTGAAGTACAGGGTTCATTCTAAGAATTTTCTGACATGGGCCTTTTATGTGAAAATTTCAAATATTATTAGTACGCCCATTCAGCACAATGTTAAAATGCCCCACTCTATTTGAAAATGTGGGCCTTTTTTTCACATTTAGGGGCTAAAAGCACAAGGCCCCACCCTAGAATTATCCCTTGAAGCACATATTACTCACCTTGGTCAGTCACCGCCATTTTGTAGTCATGGATACAGGGGAGATAAAAATGTAGGAGGGAAATCACTTCCGCGTTTCCACCGTTATGCAAATCAATTTCGAAAGGAAACATGGGTGTATGAAATCACTGTGTAGATGGTCGGTTAAACGATGCAACTAATTCGAAAAGAACACACCAGTATACCAGCGATACTGTGCATTCCCATTACCTGGCTTTGGGCAGGTTGGAGAGTGCGTGGTAGATCTTGCTCTCCAGGAGCTGCACCTCCACCAGCAGAGCCTTGTCATCCAGCTTCTTCAGCTCCTTCAGTAGGCTTGACGCTGCAACACAGACCAGAGTTGGTACATTGTCCTTGGATGAAAGGTCGTTCTGACGTGACCCGTAATGGGATGTCCTCAGATCTTTGTTTAGCGATAGCGAGAACTATGATCTGATTTTAGTGAGATTGTCAGATTTTGTACATGATCTAGATGATGTTGAAAGGAATCCCGCAAAAAACAAAACAAACTAGATTCTCTCAAATCTCCCTGCAGGTCTCCATTCTGTGGCGATAAGAAAGAGAACGATGGGGCAGAGGCAAGAACGTGATCGTATCGTGTAGGTCTCTATGCATGGGATTATAATGCTTTGTTCAAGCACATATCCATATAGGATCAAAAGAAAAGGAAGAAATGCATAATGTGAGATGGGATAAGGTTAAAAAAATGAACTAGACTGATCTGTAGAGCAAGTTTCAACAAGAAATATTCAACGGTTTCGGAGTTCAGCTCTGGAAACGGAAAACAGACACACAGGACATACTGATTGCTCTATGATTTTCAAAATAGGGATTAAACAATATACATATCTGTATATATTAGTGCTTGCTCTTACCTAGTGTCAGTGCACCCTGATAACTCTTTGTGTCAAAGTAGAGAGCAATGAGACGAGCCTGAAATGGAAGTAAAAGTCATTTCAATATACATGAACTTTTGAGTTTGGTTTCTGAGATTTATCTAGGATTCCAAACTAAATATACTTCGTAGGTAAAACAGTGAATTTTCTCAAACTTCTTATTTTCTCAAATTAGGAGGTATTTTAACATTCAATGCCAAAGAGTACAACTAAGCTCAAAAGCCTTTCAAATTTTATAATGGCAGGTACATGATGTACGGTTTAAATGTCCACTTTCAGCTCTCTCACCTCTAAGGCTTGTCTCAGGAATGTTCTCTTTTCATCTTTAGCCCAGTCAATGCATTCCTGACAGAGCTCAACCTTGAAAAACATTCAGTGAAAATGACCATGACAACCAAGGAGGATCTAAAAAGCATATAATATATATCATCAGACATTAGACTTATCTTGTCAAATAGCCTGTTTATGTTATTGCATATGATCTTACACTCAGATCTTAAAATCAGAGTGTCATTGAGGAAGTTTGAAAGTACTTCCAGCAGACATGTTATTTCACTCAATATATATTGCTATTTTAACAGAAAAATATGTTTTTTCATCACAAAACAAGATAAATACATAAAAGTTATATTAACTATCCAGTAAAATGTATATATATGCAAGATTAGTGTTAAGCTTCTTCAGTTTACAGCATTTGTAGAGACCAGTCTGTCAGGCTTCCTTAATCAGAATGAGTGAACATTGTCTAACACCGCAGCCAGCAATAATCAAGGTACATTATCACTGCAGCCCGTAAACAATCAAGTCTGGACCAGGCAAACCTACCAGACATAAATTTATCGACATTAAGCTATGTTTGTTTGTTGTTTAACACCGCACTCAGCAATATTCCAGCCATATGACGGCAGTCTGTGAATAATCCTGTCTGGACCAGACAATCAAGTGATAGACATCATTAGCATCAATCTACCAAATTGGGACACGATGAAATGCATCAACCAAGTCAGTGAGCCTGACCACCAGATCCTGTTAGTTGCCTCTTATGACAAGTATAGCTGCCCTTTACTGCAAGCATGGGTTGCTGAAGCCCTATTCTAATCCGGATCTTCACAGGTCTATTGACCTAGACATGATGATTATATCAATATTCACAAGAATACCACAGCAAGAGTGCATTAGAAGCAGTGAGAGAACATGTATTTCTCTAGTCCTTGTAATAATAACAGTACAAGTAAACATTTTCTTACAAAACAGTTACCATGGTTACAACATAAATGGTCCTGTAAGCCCACCTCTTTACCGGTTCCTGCCTCCATGTCCAAGAACAGGTCAACCAGTGCTCGCACCAACTTGGCTGCCTTAGCTTTGCTCACCATACCGAGGAATGGCCGTGTGAACTTAATCAGGCCAGCCAGCTCTGAAATCCAAATATTCAGTCAAAGTAAGATACCATGTAAGAATAAGGCACCCCATACCAGCGCAATCTGTATTGTGATAAAGGAATAGCTTCAACAGGCAAGAAATTTCTGATTGTCCTCAGTCTGCCAATTTGTTCATATCGTCATATTGTCGTTTTTTCTGATTGCTGATTGTATTGAATATTCTCCATTTTTTCAGATGTTCTAAACTTCTATACTCATCTATAACACCAAGAAAAGACAATAACTTAAACCATTGTCAGTATCTAGAAGACAAAAGTAACATTATACACAGTGTTCCCTTGGTCATGTCTTACATTCCACCAGAATCTAAGATTCATGTCCCTGGCAAATACCCATGCTAACTGTATATTTAGCTATGGCCTGTTGTTTCCCGATCTTGGATTCTATATTTTCCCCTGTGGCCAGTTGCTCTCCAATGTTCTTACATGTGGCCTGTTGTGTTTCCATAATTTACCATGTTTACCTGTGACCTGTTGTTTTTTATTTCTATACAGGTGGTCTTTTTGTTGATATATAGCTGAGATCTGTTTTCTATCTATTTACCTGTCGCACAACGTGTCTATTTAACCCTGGCCTGTTGTAGAACTTTTCTATTTACCTGTGATCTGTTGCATAACTATCTGTTTGGGAGTCATTTTACCTGTGGCATTTTGTATTACTGTCTATTTACCTGTGGCATTTTGTGTTACTGTCTATTTACCCGTGGCATTTTGTATTACTATTTATTTGCCTATGGCATGTTGTATTACAGTATTTACCTGTGACATGTTGTATTACCATGGTTACCGTCTTTTTACCTGTGACATGTTGTATTACTGTCTACTTACCTGTGGCATGTTGTATTACTGTCTACTTACATGTGGCATGTTGTATTACTGTCTACTTACCCGTGGCATGTTGTACTACTGTCTATTTACCCGTGGCATGTTGTACTACTGTCTATTTACCTGTGGCATGTTGTATTACTGTCTACTTACATGTGGCATGTTGTATTACTGTCTACTTACCCGTGGCATGTTATATTACTGTCTATTTACCTGATGCATGTTGTATTACTGTCTATTTACCTGATGCATGTTGTATTACTGTCTACTTACCTGTGGCATGTTATATTACTGTCTATTTACCTGTTGAATGTTGTAATACTGTCTATTTACCTGTGTCATGTTGTATTACCCTGATAATTGTCTATTTACCTGTGGCATGTTGTATTATTGTCTATTTAACTGTGGCATGTTGTATTACTGTCTACTTACCTGTGGCATGTTGTATTACTGTCTATTTACCTGGTGCATGTTGTATTACCCTGATAATTGTCTATTTACCTGTGGCATGTTGTATTATTGTCTATTTACCTGTGGCATGTTGTATTACTGTCTACTTACCTGTGGCATGTTGTATTACTGTCTATTTACCTGGTACATGTTGTATTACTGTCTATTTACCTGTGGCATGTTGTATTACTATCTATTTACCTGTGGCATGTTGTACTATTGTCTATTTACCTGTGGCATGTTGTATTACTGTCTATTTACCTGTGGCATTTTCTATTACTGTCTACTTATCTGCGGCATGTTGCATTACTATTTATTTACCAGTGACATGCAATACTTTTTACGTACCTGTGGCCTGTTTTGTTCCTGCAAAGAGAGCACCAAGCTCCAGAACAGCCTGTTCCTTCACCTTCACCCATTCTTCGCCCTTGTCTCCACTGTCTCTCTTTACTGCAAACAAGTGAACCAGGTAGGAATAATTGAATATGACCTACAAATATATATATATCGGATTAACAAGACTTGACAGTACGAACGCGCGCACACACAAACTACTCCAAAGAAGTTAGAGAATACCCGATTCTTTCATATTTACTTTAGTTAATCTGCCAATAGTAATATGAAAGAACTGGGCATCCTTTACTTCTTATTGAGTTGTCTCAATTTGAATGCAGTGACGTAAATCAGACCAGATAGTGCTGAAGTATAAGGATCTTCCTACATGCCCTAACCTAAACATTGCTAAAACACTGCTGAAACCGTGCCTGAAATTCTACTCATGCTCATAGGCCTCACACATGTCAGCATACATTTAACATTAGACAAACTGACTCTGAATAGGTCAAACAGGATCTATCAACATTCCATCTTGTCCAATGCAATCCATATCAATTCTTTCTCCCTGCTTGTACTGTACATTATCTTTTTCAGAAACAAATTATCATTTTTGACATTACATAAATACCAACATTCTGCAATGACGAAGGTACCCAGCTTCAGTTGGTGTCTTAATTTTTTACAGTCAATGGGAAATTAAATCAATAATCTGTGACCAATACAGTTACTCAGAATGCAGGAATTACAATGAACACAACAAAAATGTAATTATTGTTCTATGTCAGTGATTAGTTGATTGAGGACTCTTGAGAGATTTATATTTGACTAGTCAGCAACAAATCTTCTGGTCTTAGACATATGTTATACACAATTATACCCACACATGTACAAAGAGCAGAAAGTGAACAGTTTTCTACATGATTTGTCTTCGCACATGTGTTTGATCTCTGGGACCATCAGCAGCATATCAAATTCCAGTTAAATTAAATTAAATCGTTGACTATTAACATTATGGTTATGATTGATATGGACCCAATGACTTTTATTCTGAACTTTGAACACTGGTACGCATGGAAAGGAAAAGAGTGTCATATATTACTATATTATTAGCAACATTTTACCATAGTTCGCATGCAGTGTTTGAAAAAACCCAACAAATGCAAGGCTGCCATCAGGACCCACAGGCTTTAGAAGCTGCAGGCTCTTACTGAACTATTCAGGTCCTCATTTAAAACTGCAGTTTATTTAGTTATTGTGACAAATTAATCGACAAGACACTTTACTGCAGGCCATAAGGACCCATACAAATTTGAAACTACGTCCAGATTCGAGCTGTACCTGCCACAGTCCTATGGGCAGGTGCTTATTTTGAACACTGATCACAGTACTGTCACAAATATTAAGTGAGTATGGTTTTATGTTGCTTTGAGAGCTGTGAGTAGACTGGGAGCCACAGCCAGCAGTGAGAGCATTATTCCCCATATAGTTGTTTGTTTAACGCTGCACTCAGCATTAGTCCAACTACATGACGGTTCCCCACATCTCATGCATCTGCATACAGCTACACCCAGACAGTAAACTGCAGCTAATATAACAGGCAATGCCCATTGTAAATTATCAATTGGGTTGGGTTGGATGAATAATTATTACCAATCTTGAGCATGATGAATACGCTAAGTTCGTGGGCTCACGAATTTAGGAGACAAATGTACACATTATTTGTCCCCCTGTCGGTGTCCTTGGCTCGGAGGTACTGTTTACAGCAAACATCGATGTCTGATAACATTCCAAATCTTATCTAAATCTCAATCACTACATAGAAATAACCATTGATGCCGCTGCCGGGTCTAATTCGATATGTTGACATGTGTTGTTTGCGTGATTGTGCAGAATTTGAAGACCGGCGTATCTAGCAAGTGGAAAATGAAACAAACTGTGCAGCGAAATTGCAGTACAACGGAGAAAAGCAGAACTGAAATGTGATTTTGATGTCTGCTCACCTATTCCCGACAAAATGTCAATTGCTCCAGTCTTATTTGATACTTTAAAAGCAAGTGCTTTCTCTAACTCCGCGGCAGCCATGATGATAGGATTTTTGTAAAGAAATACTTGTAGTACTACTAATTATTATCTATTTAATATGAAAACGTTTCTGTGAATAAAAACAATACCTCAGCTCGTATCAACATACAAATATTATACATATTGTAATCTATACATTATAGTATGAATATACGGCACATATTTTAAAATTATTAATGTTGCACGTGTACTTCAATCGCATTGTAATATTAGTAGACAGGAATACAGTTATATCAAGGGAGGCAATCGTATTGGAACGTAATTTGAGTACCGTTATTCAAACATGAATCTCTTCACAGTCTTTAAATATAATTCTAAAAGCTTCTTACTTACCCCGTCTATGTAATTACCTCTTAAATTATTCTTGTCGTAAGAGGCGACTAAAGGGATCGGGTGGTCAGGCTCGCTGACTTGGTTGATGTATGTCATCGTAGATCGAAGCGCATGATGTCAATCAGACTCGATTATTTACAGACTGTCGTCATATAGCTGGAATATTGCTGAGTGCGGCGTTAAACAACAAACAAATAAAACAACAACAAACCTCTGGTTGGAGCCATACTTTTTGCCAATTAACAACCCAAAACTTCAGTGAGAATATGAAATTCGGTTTGTAAATTTAAAATAAAATATAATCTTTAGAAAGCACATGGGGTCCATCGATCATATTTAGCCCAAATAAACCCAAGTTCATTCAAAATATTTAAAGAAAAGTGCTGTGTTAAATATGTCCAAATATAATCAATTTTAAATATTACCACTGACTTGAAAAGGCAAAAGGAAGCACACGTAAAATGTCCTTGTACAATTTTGAATGATCAGCCTGGTTGTAGTTATCCGGTCCTCCGACGATATCGATCTACCTCGCATGTGACAAGACTGATCGATAGATTTCGCTGTGAAATCTCATTGCAGAGAACACATACTGCCGGGTGTAAGTGATTGTGAGGCGTGTCTGGACTGCACGAACACAAGGTGAATATTTAATATATCTGACGAATATTACCCTGGGTATATCATGAGGTGAGGTGAAATGGGGTTTTACGTCGCGTCCAAGATTATTACACTTATATAGCGACGTGCATGTACGTGTGTGTGTGGCTGCTTGTACTAGTCCGGACTGATGCTGATTTATAGTGGTAGCACACGGAGATACCATGCCGCAGTTTAACATGAATACCCCACTCAGACACAGTATACTGACTCCGAGCCGACCGGGTAACAATAAGTACTTTTAATGGCGGGGCCGGGGATCGTACCCCGGACCTTCCGCTCTCCGGGTGGACGTTCTACCACTAGACCATGGAGGCAGTCAGGTCATATCATGACCCATATTGTGTGTTTGTTAATTCACAAAACAAATGGAAACTGATTTAGCCACTACTATTTCTGAAATATCATAAAGAAGACAAAAATTGGCACACAAATGTCAAGCACTCATTCTAATACCAATTTTATATTTAATTTGATATCTTTTAAAATTCAGTGTCAATAATGCATTGTTTTAATATGCTTCTAAATTCCATTTATTTATTAAAGTAAATACGCCACCGTAGTCTTTTATTTCGTCCAATTTGGCTGCGCGCACAAATTCTACAGTGTACATTGAAATAATAAACAACACGTGGTGGCACATAGTCCTGTGCACAGAGCACAGATCACAAATCAGGTGAAGTTAAGCGACTTTGGTCTCGGAGAGTAGCTGGGTGGGTGACCACGTTTACTCCTGAGAGTTTCTAGGGCTTCGGTCCTGCCCCACACTGAAGCACATGTACCACATGTGGTGTCTCCTTAGGCAAGTGACTTTGTTCGAAATGTGCCCCTGTTCACCCAGCAGTGAGTGGGTACCCGGTAGGATGAGATGGTAATGTGGCTGTTAACCTTCTAGCGCCTCACAGGCAGCTTGGGTTGTATACTCCCCAGGGAGCTGAGAATGAAAATCGAGTGTTCACTGATCCATTGACCGGGATAATAATTGTGTAGCGCTATGAGCATCCACTTGGTGAATGGAATCTGGTGCATTATGAATGCACTTATTATTATTTTACTACCAACGCTATTATCACTACTATCATAGGATTCTGGCACTTAAGGGATGAAACTCTGCGCAGGGAATTGTGGCGCTGTAGACGACGCCCATGGAATAGACAAGTATGCGAATCACATCCTGGGGAATGGTAGTCCACTCGGCCTGCAACGCAAAAGCCAACTGCTGCAACGTCTGGGGTTGTGGTTCACGTCGGCGTAGCCGTCTATCCAATTCATCCCACAGGTGCTCTACCGGGTTCAAATCCGGGGATCTGGAGGGAGAACATCAACGTTGTTGTGTAGACAGGTTCTTGTGATCCGCGCAGTATGCGGCCGAGCGTTGTCCTGCTGGAATACACCGTTGCCGTTGCCTGCAACTGGGTTTGATTGGTTTGTTGTTTAACGCCGCACTCAGCAATATTTCAGCTATATGACGGCGGTCTGTAAATAATCGAGTCTGGACCAGACAATCCAGTGATTAATGTCATGACCATCGATCCACGCAATTGGGATCGATGACATGCATCAACCAAGTCAGCGAGCCTGACCACCCGATCCCGTTTGTCGCCTTTTACAACAAGCATAGTCAGCTTTTACAGCAAGCATGGGTTGCTGAAGACCTATTCTACCCCGGATCTTCACGGGTGCCTGCAATTGGGAGGACGTGTGGCAGGAGAATTTCGTTGATGTATCGTTGAGCCGTAAGGTTGCCCTAGATATGGACCACACCTGCCCTGCCATGATGAGAGATGATGAAGAGCCCGCCACCCCCACCAAACCTGTCCATTTCCTGTACGTTGTTTCCGGCGTAACGTTCTCCCCGACGTCTGTAGACCCGTGCCCTTCCACCCCTTCGGCGGAGAAGAAATCTTAATTCGTCAATGAACCAGACATCACTCCATCGCAGTTAAGGCCATTCCCTGTGTTGACGACACCATTGCAGTCGTCGTTGACGATGTTGTCGACTCAATATGACGCGTCGAACAGGACCTGCTGCTCTTAAACGGTTTCGTATGGTCTGGTCGGAGATTCTGCGCAATCCGGGTTCTTAGGATGCGGTTGAGGTAGCTGTGGTCGTCCTTTTACGTAGGTGGCGCAGTCGGATGTAACGATCTTGGACGATGTAACGATCTTCCTAATCCTAATAAAGTCGATATATTTAATTTAATATCATAGATACAAATATAAAATTTTGAAGCTCGGTAGTCACATGTTATCGTTGTACAAAGGCATTGACAACTGTTCATTGTCATGTCACAGAAGGCCACAAAGTTGCGCTGAACTCAGTATCTCGTGTGACCGCCCAGGGCAGCAATCACGGCTCTGCATCTCCTCGGCACTGAGTGGATAAGTGTACGAATTCTGTCCTGCGGAATTCTGCGTCATTCTGATTGTAACACGTTGGCCATGCAGTTGTGGGAATGTCTGCGGGGTGTTCTGACGTTGACGTACACGTCGATCGACTTCATCCCAGAGGTGTTCGAATGGGTTGAGATCTTTTTACCCACCTGTTTCTTGACATTTGGGTATTTAACGTAAACCCTGTATTTAACTTAAAACCTGTATCGTCCCTGTAGATCATTTAAACCTATATGAGGTGAGGTGAGGTGAAATGGGGTTTAACGTCGCGTCCAAGACTATTGCACTTATATAGCGACGTGCATGTACGTGTGTGTGTTTGTGTGGCTGCTTGTACTAGTCCGGACTGATGCCGATTTATAGTGATAGCTCACTGAGATACCATCCCGCAGTTTAACATGAATACCCCACTCAGACACAGTATACTGACTCCGAGCCGACCAGTCCTTCTTTTATCCCCTTCATGCCGAGCGCCAGACAGGCTTACAACAAGTACCATCTTTTAACGTCTTTTGGTATGACGCGGCCGGGGATCGAACCCCGGACCTTCCGCTCTCCGGGCGGACGCTCTACCACTAGACCACGGAGGCGGTCTAAACCTATATGAATACCTATATGAATAGTAGTATACCCGTCTGCGTCTTCTTGCGGCTTCCTCTCCAGGAAGCCATTTTTTGTTTTCAAAACCTATCATTGTAAGAAAGGTGCTTTTGTTTTAATCACCAATCAGCGACTAATTAAGATACAACATTTACATTGACAAGGCACGATGTGCTTTTCAAGGTGGCATCTATCAGTATGTTTGTCGCAGAAGCTGTATATCGAAGTGTGTGTTTCAAGAAAATATTCAAATGTTAACAAACATCATCTCTGCACGTATAGGAAAATATTGCTCATCTTCGTCCGTCCTTTGTTCTTTGAAGCCCCACACAAACCCGCTTATAAACACAACACAGATTTTGTAACATCTGACACATGTAGCCATCTGTAAGGCTTAAATCTCTAGTCTGAGATTTGTGTCTGTTTTCTTGACGTTAATATCCCTTCCATCACTCCCTCCACCGACGCTCCCACTCAACCCACTTACTATATCCCCCAAACCCCATCACACTTGAAGTAAACACACATTTGTCTGTGTTAACGAGAATTTCAATCAGCATTCGTGATAACACGGTTTTATGCGAGATTTGCCTATACAAACGAGCTCACCGCTAGGGGGCACTCCATCTTATTCTGTGCGTCTGTAGCGTTGGTTGTGGTTCGTGGGTAATTAAGCCCAAATCGATATTCATCTGATGGTTTCTCCGCATCCGATGACCACAGTTGCTGAAACAGGCACGTTATTATTTGGCACATGGTCTATAACGAACTATGGCAGGTGCGTGTTACGGTCCAATCACACATTAAGATCACTGTTAGGAAAACTTAGCTTATTAGTCTGCAAAGAGAAAACTGAATTAGGGGCGAGTCTCATGGCAATATATCTAAAAAAAAGGGTAATTTAAAGACATCTCCCGAGGCCGACAAGATCTTTATCCATTTCATTATCATTGATTGTAATAAATGTCTCACATTACCCTTAAATTATACGGTAATAAAAGGGTAACAAAACAATTGAAATTGTCGGT